GAGAAGAAAGTTTTAAAACTGAAAAGCTTCTTAAATATAATGAAGCAGAAAATTCCGGAAGTGAAGAGCTTCATATCTTTAAAGGAGGAGAAAGTTTTGGAGGTGGACAGCATCATCTCATTAAAGAAGCAGATAGTTCCTCAAGTGGAGGTCAAGGTGGAAATAATGGGAAGTTAAAAGTAAAGCTAGCTGATCATTCAGGATATAGAGTGAAAATTTATACTAACCAATGTATGTTTAAAAATAAAAAAAACTAATTTTGCATAATATACATTATATCAATTATTAATTTTTTTAGTAGCTGCCGGTTAGTGATCTTTGAGACTCTCGGTCTCGGGTTTTTTGAGCTCTTGTTTTCGACTTTCGACTTTTTTTAACTCTCGAACATTACTACTGACGGTAACCTTGAACCTCGGGAAGATCAAGAAAATTATTCCGTTATAATAATTAAAATACTTATCGTGCAGTTAACAATTTTAATCATCTTAGTTTTTATTTTTGTATTTTTGTTAAAATTCTTAGCAAACATAAAGTATTCTCGTTCAGACCAAGAAGGTGCAGATATTAAAATGCATAAAAAGCATTCTAAGTACAATGAAGGTAACTTTGATGCTCATGCAATGGTTGTGCTTTACGGAACTGACAAGGCTAAGAAAGAAAAATATAGAAGTAAGTGTTTATTAGGGATTTGGTTATAAAATTCAAAAGACGTAAAAGCAAAAAGTAATATCGCTGTCAATTCAAGAATATACCCTGGAAAATGAAAGATAATTGAGCATATCTAGAGCATATCTTTAGTTGCATAGCTTTAATAATTAAGTAGTAAATATATGCTAACTCGGTTTATAGTAAGCAGAGGTCGGAGAAATTTTTCCTCAGGAGTTCTCAGGATTGAAGCCTGCCGGAATCAAACTTTTACTACGCTTTTACTCTATTAATTTTCAGTTCATTATACAATGGATCGCCTAAACCTTTTTGATTCGGTTAAAAAGATTAATTACTTCATCGAGTATGAAAACGGAGAATTGGTTATGAAACCTGAAGAAAATGTTCAGCAAAATTTGGATACTGAACAGGGTACAATAGATGGCATATTTTATTCAAACGGAGAGGAAATAAAGGTAAGGAACAGAGTTTATAAAAGTCATGTTAAACCGGGCTTAAATGAACACATGCTACGTATTATAAAAACGAAGTGGGGTATCGGTAATTTTATATGCTTCTTACTCGAAAAATACATACATAGAGCACCGTGTTTAAATAATACATAGAACACCGTGTTCCTCGATTTACATTACATTTTTAAGTTTGGTTTGGGACCAATAAGGGATATTATTAGCGCATATAGAAAGAGAAAGTGTTTAGCAAAGCCCCCGGCAGGATTCAAACCGGCGACAACGCTAAAAGTAGTGCTCGACCTTGCTCAAACAAATATAGATGCTCTACCATTGAGAGCTACCGGGGCGAGGACTTTATGCTTTCTCTTTTACCCTTTTGAATGTTTAACCTCGTTAATAGCGTTTTAAATGCCGCTAGGTGAACCATCCTTACAATATAACTACTATACCCTCCCATAGTAAAGCAGCTGTGCTATAGCTATTTCTCTCCTTTAGCTAGTGCATAAGGTTATTCGGCGGGAGCGAACCAGCATCTTCAGTAGACCGGACTGATGTGTTAGGCATTACACCATGCCGCCTAGGAATTAAATAGCTATATGCTTTACACCATTACTTAATTCTAAAAGGTATTTACAAATGAATTAACATTGTATCAACTCCTCAACATTGCTTACTACGAAGTAATATTTGATGGCCCTACTTCCAAAGATAAACCTATGCCTTTCAAAAGCCTCAAGTTCGTATATGAATTTGTCACCGCCATTGCTGAAGAGAAATTTAAAAAAGGATTGCTAAAATTTGAAAATTGGCCTAAAAATATTCGTGCAATGGACGAACAAATGAAGGAAAAGATAAGAAAAAGTGCTTTTAAAAAATCACTTAAAAATTTGAAAAAACTTGCAAAATTGTAAGCTACAAGAACTACGAGAACGAACACTGTAAAAAGAAATTCCAAGTATTCCTTTAAAACAATTAAACCTTTTTTTCATTCGAAATTTAAAACAAAGGTGCAGAAATTATTTAAAATTCGAGAATTAATATTGTAGTCATGCCCATATTATTGAGCAGATACCGTAAGGCCCTCCTAACCTAGTTTTCATTTCAAGGTTTCCTCTCTAACGGAGGGGCCTCTTCGGAAGTGCCTCAGGAAAATTTTCTATGGGAGCGCTTTGTCGAATTAATCCCCCCCCCCCCCAATTTGAAAGGAAACCTCTTTTTGGGAGGACACCTTTGGAGAGGTTTACTCCCAAACGGAGAACTCATTTTCTCTCAAAAGGAAAAACGGACTCTTTCTATTAAGCAAAGAATACCTTGAAGTACCATCCTAACCCTTAGGAGACTCCCCCCCCCCTTATTCCAACCGCGAGAGATCTTGTTAAAAATTTTTATGCATTGCCATGAAACAGTGATCCTTCCGACATACAAATTAAACAGTCGATTAATGGAATCAGGAATTCTCATTTTAATTCTCAAATTCCTCGACTTTCAGTACAGATTTCTGCACCTTTTATGAAACTTGTGTACTAAACCCCTCCCACCACCTTCCCCCCATTTATTCTCAACTTCATATGTACATAAATATACAAACTGACCGAGAAAACACCATTTATTCGCAAGTAAAGATGTTCAAGGTGACTCTAGTGAAGTTGACGAGACGCTTGTGGAAACCCCTTAGCTTAGTTTGGGGGTTGACGCAAAAATTTTTGACGGAAACCCCTGGCTTGCGTCATGCGACTCGGTGGAGTTGACGGTTGCTAGGTTCCGTACGGAATAAATATAGACTCATCACCTCTTGCGAATAAATGGAGTGTGTACCTAAATGCTAGGCTTTCACCGGAACCTAGATTTTGACCGGAACCTAAACGGATCCATTTTGAGTTCTGGATTCCGGAACCAGAAATTTTTCTTAGTTCCGGCCGGAACCGAAACCGGGACCAAAAAAGGCCGGAACTTTCCGGAACCGAAACTTCCGGGGAAACCCTACTAAATGTACAAACACCCATTTTTCATTCCACCGATATTTTTATATTTTTCATTGGCTTCTTATGTTAGCCTGAAAAACCACAAATTCTGAAAATCCACAAAATTTTCGCTAAAAATTCATGAAAAATTTAACTCAGTTCTGTTTTTTAACTTGTTTATATTCATTTAGCTTTTGTACATTTTATTTTCATTCAATGTAGTTGTAGACACAAGAATCTGATATTGTTGACCCTCAGATTCATTTTTATCAATCGGCTTATATTCCCCCGATTTTGATAAAACATTTTTTAAAATTTGAATTTTTTTGATTATAGACCGATACACCTCAGAGTAGCGACTAGAACATTTAGATGTTCCAATCCATTTCTAGGGAGTCCAACCGGGTATAATTTAAGGCGCTCATCTGACAGAATCGCTCACCTTCTTCTAAGTAAAATGAGCGAGGGTAAGGTGAGCTTCTAAGTAAGGTGAACCTACATAACTACATATTACCATTGCCTTCACCTCTTCAAACCGACTCTCAATGTTCCCAATCAACTTTCAAGGAAGAAATGATCCAAGCTAGGTCCTATCTTCAAGTAGAATATTAATGTTAAGCCTTACAAGGAAGAAAATGGCAGTTTGAAAACGCTTTCACCTATTTCTTTCCTCTGACATGAATATCACTCTCAAATTGACAATTCATATTTCAAGGGGAAGCGCGAACGCTGTCCCCCACACTCAAAAATTTAGCTGTGGGCCTACCCCAGTTCGGAGCCGCCCTGCGGGTCAACCTCGCCCTCAAGTGCAATGGGGAAGTCTCACCACAGACACCATGCCTTCTTGATCGCATGAGCGCCCCAGCCAGGTAAATATACATGGGTCAAATGCCCATAGTCTATTAAACATTTAAAAGAGAAAAATGTCAGTTTACAACAAACGCTGTTTTGTAAAGGAAAAAGGAGTAGTCCCTCATATTTTCTCTCTTCTTTCACTTTTATTTTTAGTTCTACATTTTCTTTCTTTTTGTCTCTAACATTAACTCTATTTTTCTATTTTTTGTTAAACAAAGGAGGCTCAAAGGGAGAGAAGAATATTTTTAATTAGGTTTCAAGAGAAAAGAGGTTGAAGTTAGCTTCGCTGTTCTTCGTAGAAAAGAGGTTGGAGAAACTGAAGAAGGCAAAGTTCCAATTTGGAAGTAACACAAATTGAATTACAGCCGACCTCACTATAGTAGGGTTGTTGTAAGCTTGATACGGTTCCGTGACTTTTGCGCCGCGACTTTTGCGCGGGGGGACTTTTGCGCCGCTACTTTTATTAAAAATATATGAACAGCCAGACCTCACTATAGTAGGGGTGTAGGATAATTGGAAATCTTCGGATATCCGGATCCGACAACCCTACACTATAATGCATCCTACTTTTATGACCCAGTTGTAACCTTACTATAATAATGCTAGTAAATCTAAAAGGAGTTTCTGATAAAACTCCATTACAGGGATCAACCCAGAAGGTTAACAACCCAGAAGGTCAACACCCTAGAGGTCAACAGACCCAGAAGGTCAACCTCAGATATTTGGGCGGATAAAGGGTATTTGTGCGGATTAGTAAGGATATCTGAGAATTAATGCGGATAAAGAAGTATTAGTGCGGATTAGGATGGATTAGGAGGGATTAAGGAGGATTAAAGGATGAAAGACGGTAATTTCCTCGTGCAACTGTGATAAATCAAAAGAGAGCAGACCAACGTATTTTTAATCTCGAATAACCTTTATCCGCCCAAATATATTAAGTTGACCTTCTGGGGTGGACACCCAATCTAATCGGACCTCTAAAACAGAAAAAATCAAAAAATTTCATTGTGAATCTATAATTATGCAGTCTTTATTCAACAAAAATAAAATACAAAAATTCTCAAGATCACAGCGGTATTTTAAACAATCTTCGAGCATTTGCACTTGTAACTCTTATCACTTCAGCTACTTCAATTCCTTTTATTTTCGCAATAAATTCAGCACTCAAACGAGCATTTGCAGGCTCATTTCGTTCTTCTCTATTTGGGCCCAAAACGGGTGAGTCTGTTTCAAGGCAAAGACGTTCGAGTGGGACAGTACGCACAAATTCTTCCTAAAAATTTTCAGAATAAAGATACCATATTCACTCAAATACCTCCCCCGGGACACTGCCCAAACGGGCGTGCTACCATAACGGCGCAAACCCATACCATGCTTCAATATTTCCGAATCCTGCCATATTTAAAATAAAAAATTACTCTCATCGAGCTAAAAAGATTAGTACTAAAATTGATAAGGGCCAGAAAATTTTCAGCAGTTTATGGCCATGCGCCGTTATGGCCGCGTGCCCTTTTAGGCTGTATGTACACACCTCCCCCATCTAAAATAACCCCCACTCTAAGATATTTTTCGTTGCTCAAAACATGGCCAGCTAGGGCTATTTTAGAGGAAATACAGCAAGACAAATCCGCCAGTGTCGTTTAGCCGGAATAAACAGGTCTACTCCTCTAAGAGTCATGGTATCTAGTAGAGATCGAAATTTTTGAAAAGCCTGGACCTGTTCTTGACTCTGGAGTTGATTTATTGACCTGGACTGGATCCTGAGCTTGTAGTCCAGGAAAAACCTAGGTCCAGGAAAAATCCAGGAAGGTCAAAAAATGCCTGGACTCTGGGTACAGGAAAAACACAGGCTTTGGTCCAGGTCCAGCTCGATCTCTAGTATCCAAGCCCAAGCCCGAAATATATGCTCTATCCCAAAGAGTCGGGTATCATCTCCCTCGAATAACCTTTTTGACCATTTCGAGCCCTATATCTTATAACACAGACCCAATTTAAAATTTCAAGCACCTTTTCTTTATTAACAGTAAAAGCTGGAGCCAAAGAAAAATGAAAATCAGCAGCCACACCCAAACGAACACTTTTAATATTCCCTGTAAATGCATGCAAAAGAACATTTTTTGCTCCAAGGGATTGTAATTGTTCAATTACGGGCTTTCCGGCAGAACGAGAATGAACGTTTCTTTGATTAAAAAATCAGAATTAAAATAAATCAGAATTTTAAAAATCAGAATCTCAGAAAATCAGAATTAAAAAAAATCAGAATTACAAAAACCAGAATTTTGAAAAATCAGAATTCAAAAAACCAGAATTAACAATAATCAAAATTTAACAAAATCAGAATTACAAAAATCAGAATTTCCAAAAATCAGAATTTAAAAAATCAGAATTTTGAACATCAGAATTTCAAAAATCGGAATTAGATAAATCAGAATTACATAAACCAAAATTATAAAATATCAGAATTTAAAAAATCAGAATTTTATAAATCAGAACTTTTTAAAATCAGAATTTTACACATCAGAATTACAAAAAATCAGAATTAAAAAACCAGAATTACAAAAATCAGAATTTTCAAACCAGAATTATCTAAAATCAGAATTATCAAAAATCAGAATTTTTGAAATCATAACTACAAAAATCAGAATTACCAAAAATCAGAATCTCAAAAAATCAGAATTTTGAAAACCAGAATTAAAAAATCAGAATTTAGAAAAATCAGAATTACCAAAAATCAGAATTTTGAAAAATCAGAATTTCAAAAAATCAGAATTACGGAAAAATCAGAATATAAAACCAGAATTACCAAAAATCAGAATTTAAAAAATCAGAATTTTTAATTAAACAGAAACCCCCTACAAAGTCAAATCCAATTCCTTCGCCAGCTCAATTTGCGAAGCAAAAACAGCTCGTTGTTCATCCTTATCTCCGCTTCCATTAGTTAAATATCTTGGGGTGAAATCGAGACCAACTTCCCCAATTCCATGCAGTAAATTTGCTTCGTAAGCGTCCCTAATGGATTTTTCAACTTGAGTGTCTTTATAAATCTGTTGAGTGACTGAAACCCAGCCTTTCTAAAATTAAGAAATAAATTAGGAGAAAAATGAATTTTTAAAAATTAAAAAAAATGGGATCAAATGGGTTGGGGTCGTTTTGGCGCCGGGCCATAAAGGCGCGGGGTCATAAAGGCGCGGAGCCATTGCGGCGCCAGCACTAGAAACTGACACTTTGGCGGGACCGAAATTTATGAAAATTTTCTCAAATTTCTTTAACATCATTGACTACCTCCTCCAGAAATTTCAGAATTTTTCATCGAATATTTCTAAAGTTGTAGTCGATAACCCGCGAAAAATTAGGGTTTTTTCGGAAAATCAACATTTTTGGCCACAATTTCCGAAATTCTTGATCAAAAATTCTGAAATTTTTGGAGAAGGTAGATAAAGGCATGAGAGTTATTATTGCAAAATTTTATCTTTTTTGATAAGCAACTCACTGTTTTATAAGCTCGCGCCCTAATGGCCCCGCGCCCTAATGGCCCAGTCCCGATCACATGTTAGCAAAAAAAATTTTTTTTCGAATTAAAAAAAAATTTTTTTTTGGAAAAATTCCAAAAATTTTTTAGAAAATTTCAAATTATTTTTGAGAATATTATATGAGCAAAAATTTTAAAAATAGTCAGTAAAAATTCATGAAAAATTCAAAAATCTCAAAGAACCTGAACAGGATGAACACCCAAACAGGGCTTAATAAAATCAGGAAATTGTTTCGCTAGTTGGAGAATGCGAGGAAAATCCGACGGATATTCTGCTACGACGATGGCATGAACTACACCAGCCTTTAAATTAAAAAAAAGAGAGAAATTTAGGGAAAAATAAATTTTGGGATCAAATGTCACCTCACAGGAAAATTAAAAAAAAATAACTCTAAAAAAATTCCAAAAATTATAGAAAATTTTCTTTAAATTTTTTTGAGGCTTAAAAATATTTTTATCACACGAAAAAACGGAAAAAACACACGAAAATTAATTTGGGATCAAATGTCACTTAATAATAAAATTAGAAAATCGTCTCTAAAAAATTCTAGAAAATTTAAAAAATATTTTAGGACGTTTAGAAAATTATTTCATTTAAATATAAAATAATACAGCAAAAAAATCCCAAAAAATCCAAAAAAAATTAAGTTGGGATCAAATGTCACCTACTAGGAAAAATAAAAATAGCCTTTAGAAAATGCTTAATAATTTCTAGAAAATTTCAAAAAATATTTTAAAACCCTCAAAAAATTTTTTTTAAATAAAATTCACCCGAAAATTTAAATAAAAAAAATAAAAACCTCCTTGGCCCGTTCAATTACTTGTCCAATATCTTCATTAAAAGAGGGATCAGCCAAATGACAGTGACAATCAATCATTTTTCTCGAAGAAAATTAACTGAAAAAATTTATAAAAATTAAGAAAATTCCAAAAAATTCTAAAAAATTCCATTAAAAAATTAAAGAGTAGAAGCCATAGAAACAGACAAAATTGAAGGAAGAGTTGAACAAGCCGTTTCAGCGCCGTTTGAGTGTGTCTATTTTTAAGGGTATACTGTCAAATGAGAGAAAATGAATTAATATTTTTATTTCGGTTACCTTTCGATTTTGGAGAATTTTTTTTTGAATTTTAAATTTTCCAATAAATTTTCCAATAAATATTCCAACAAATTTTCCAATAAATTTTCCAAAATTAAAAACAATTAAAAAAAAATTTCTAAAAAAGTCTAACTGGCTAAAATTTTCAATCCTGGTTAAATATAAGCAATCAATCAATTTAATAAGATATCGATGGATATGAAGTGATACTGGGGAATCAGAGGACTTGAAGGGATATCTGGTGATCTGGCTGCCAGATACGGGGCTAAGTTTTTCTTAGCCTTCTCCTGATGGAAGTATTTGTATTTGAGCAATCAGTGATGTCAAGTTCCAAAATTTCTCTGGAACTTGTTCTAGTTCCAGAACCAGGTTTTTAATTTTTGTAGTTCAGTTCCGGAACTCCATTTTTGAAATTCCTTAGTTCCAGTTCTGGAAATAATTCCAAACTAGTTCCAGATAATCGTTAGTTCCGTAGTTCTAGTTCTGGAAATATAACTAATTAGTTCCGGAACTGGAACTGGAACTTTGACATCACTGTAGGCAAGGGCTTCCTCCTTTATGCGCCGCAAGCGAAGAGTTTAATTATTTTGGAAAGCCAAAAAGCCTCCAGATATCTTTTATTTTTATGCGCCGCAAGCGAAGATTTTGAGAATATTGGCAGAACAAGAAGCCAGTCAGACAAATGCAATTTTTTTAAATTTTGGTCGGCAATGTCGGAAAAATATTTTTCTATTTAATTTTTTCCTTTCAAAATACACTTGCACTTTTCAAAAATAAAAATTTAAAAAAATAAATAAACAATTTCTTAATAAGCACTTTAACAATGTTGCCCTTTTAAATAAACAAGCACTGCCAGTCTTTAAATATTTTTATTTTCCCTGCTTTCATAATTTTTTGACAATTTCCGTCTCATACCCCTTTAAATAAGCTTCTTAATTTAATTAAATTTTTATTATTTTTTAAAATTTCCCGACTTGATTCCCAACCAAGTTCCTTTAAGATGATGCTTTTGTTCATTATTTTAAGTCAAATTTTAATTAAAAATTGTGGGGCGGTTGAAGGTAGAAAATTTAATTTTTAATAAGGTGGAGCGAGTAAAGCAGCTGGGCTATAGCTATTTCTCTCCTTTAGCTAGTGCAAAAGGCTATTCGGCGGCTGGGAGCGAACCAGCATCTTCAGTAGACCGGACTGATATGTTAGCCAATACACCACGCCGCCTACTGCTCAGCCTTAGGAAATTAATAGCTATATGCTTTACAAGCGGGTGATCCCATCCCGTATAATAATCAAAGGATTGACAGGGATTTGCTCCTGATACGTGTTACAACCGGAGGTTGTCCAGTTATGTCAGAGAATTGTCCGATGTTAATAAGCACAAGAATAACAGTTTATCCGTTGTAGAAATGAACAATGAAGGCTAAGATGGAAAGAGCTGGAACTGACGAAAGACATCAGTGACTAGCCCCGCTAGTATGATCCCACTAGACTGACGCTTTCACCAGCTTTTATACTATCCTTACACCACTACACCACATTGTAGTGGTTGTGTGTTGTGTCAACGCTCGTAAACCGCTCAACGATACCAGCACCTAATGACCAATTCATTTTTGTTTTGCAAGGATGTAGACCTTCATTAGCTCCCGGACATATGGGCAGAGAACAGATGGATAGTAGAGACATTTGGGGAATACTTGTGAAGGCGTTGGGACGCTAAGAGGTGACTTCAAAGGCCATATATCCTCCACAGGTTCCATATAGACTAAGCTTATATTTAAGGTGAAATTCACCCTTTGAATGTTGTTCAACCCCAGCAGGCTTCATTCATTCCACAACCCTTTGAAGCCCCTAAAGGTGTCAACTACCCAGATGCTCCCATGTATGGGTATCGAAGAATGCTAAAGGATCAAGGCAACAAGAACAAGGAAACCCCTGGGAAGGAGAAGAAGGAGGCAAAGCCTTCAAAAAACAAATTGCAGGCTCGATACAATGTGGAAGTTAAAAATAAATTTAGCGCCTTGAACGGTCTAACGGAGGCAAAGGAAAAAAAGTTGTTCAACAACGGAAAGGAGAAGATTAAAAAAGAGATGAAAGGGAAGGAAAAGTGTGAGACAGAGTGTGATGAAGTTCTTGAAGAGCCCTCAATCAGAAAATCGAGAAAATTAATAACTGTCACTGCTGATCCAAAATGTAACTGGTGCAAGACACATTTTGTAGGTGTGATGATTTCTGCATTTTTGGCTTGTTCTGGACTTGTACAGTACGCAAACTTGCCACAAACTGGATTTAACTGCAATATTTGTAAGTTTGAAACTGAACAAGGATCTAATTATGGGTCGCTGGGGAACTCCAAGTTTGTCAAAAACCTTCCAGTCCGAATCTCCAGAGCTGTATTCATGTTCTCTCCGGCCCACATACTAGCTCGAAAGGACCTATTCTCTCTTCACCGTATTCTCATTCCGAACAGAACTAGTCCTCTTTACAATACTTTCTATTGTAAACGAGACATGTTCTCTTCAGCTTACTTTCTAGTCCGTACGGTACATCATTCTTCAGCCTTCATACTAGTCTTAGGGGACACATGATTTCTCCATCCTACTTTTAGTCCCAAGGGTCTCTCTTTAGCCTACTTTCCTGTCCGAACGGAACATTCGAAAGAGACATTTCTCTTCAGTTTACTTTCTAGCCCTTACGGGACATACATAACACTTCTGCCTTTTTATTAGTCTCGCGGGACACATTAACTCTCCATCCTACTTTTCAGTCTGAACGGTCTCTCTTCCTTCTACTTTCCTGTCCGAACGGAACATGATCTCTAGTCAAAAGAGACACGTTCTCTTCAGCCTGCATTCTACTCCGAAGGGAACATGTGCTTTTCAGCCTACTTTCCAGTCCGAACGGAACAGGTACTCTCCAGCCTACATTCTATCCATGGGGAACATGTCTCATAAGTCCTCAGCCTACTCTGAGGGTCATTCAACATAAACAGTGTTAAATATTCTCTTTTAATTAATAACAGATCCGAGCCTTGGTGTGTTTAATACTGTGACTTGTGGTCTACAATACAACTGTACTCAGCCCCCCTGTCATGTTGATGGATACAGTTGTAATGCTGAACAAGAATATATAAAGGTGCAATCCAGTGAATTTCACGAATATATTGACCATTCTGGACCGTTTAAAATGTATTGTCCGATAGGGGAAAATGGAGCAGAAGTGTTTGTTGCTGAGGGATTTGGAAGCTGCGATGCCAGTGACACTCGCAAATGCGAAATTGACTTTGTACAAATTGTAAACACTAATCAGACTTTGAATTGAACGAAGGATGAAATTAAAAGAAATATGAGATGATAATTTTTAGAAAATCGGAATTTAACGTTATTCAAACAATATAAAATTTTTTGGTTCTATTATGTATTATGAGTCCAATCGAAAATTTGTTATTATAATAAACATGATTTGAAGGCTAATATCTTGTTGTTATAAAATCAGAGAAAAATCATAGCTTATAATAAAATGTAACTAAGTAGAGTTAATCGCTTAGATATCTCCTCTACCACACCATATATGCTCTAGATAGAGTTTATCTTTCAGAAAGTTTCCCTAAACAGTAACCAAGCAAATTGGTCAATAGCTGGGTACGTCGGCGAGTTGTCAGATAGTGGAAAATAATGTGAGTTGTGGGCTTCTCTACCATTGAGGGTGTCCGTATTACCCCAAGATAAATGTTATTCAGTGGAAGCTGAAAGGTCCTCTACCTTATAATGAAATGTATCCTATTCAGAATATCACTGGTACAAGTGATCAAACAAATTTGAGGTATGAAGGATCTGATGTATTGCGGAGGAAGTGACTCATGACAAGTAGATAAAAAATTCCGGTCACTTTCGTGGCTTTAGGCAAATTTAGAAAATTTACAGATTCCTAATAAAAGCACCACACATTACAAACTTGTGGTGGTTTTACCCAAACTTGAAAAAAGTTCTCGAATGTCGGCTTAACTTGAAAACGGCAACCATATTCCGACGGTAGTGCGAAACTTGCAGACCGACTTTTGCGGACCATAGGTTTAGGTTTTTGTTTTTCCATCGTAACTTTGTCCAAGCTTGTACAATCACGATGATTTTGATGTCATTCGACCAAGCACTTTCGAATGAGCTATGTTTTGAGGAATTCGTCGGGTCCGTAAGTTTCGGTCCGCAAAAGTCGGTCCGCGTTTTCGAAGCCTGCTCCCGGGCAGGCTTCGATCCTGCAGCCTCCTGGCAGTTATTACTAGGCCTTTCGCTCATCAAGTAGTACAGGTGCTCTACCAACTGAGCTACCGAGACGCTGCTTTCACTTTTTTTCTAATAGATCGTAAACCTTCCTTACACTAGACCGGTCCCTCGGTCAGACCGAACAACCGGCAATCCAGCTGGAAGCTGCAAATATACACAATTTAAAAACGAATCGGATTTTAATTTTAAAAATACGAGTCTCTCAGACACTATTAAAATTCAAAATTTTATTTGTAAATGTATTTGACCTTTTTACCTTTCAAAATACACTTGCACTTTTCAAAAATAAAAATTTAAATTTAAAAATAAATAAACATTTCTTAATAAGCACTTTAACAATGTTGCCCTTTTAAATAAACAAGCACTGCCATTCTTTAAATATTTTTATTTTCCCTGCTTTCATAATTTTTTGACAATTCCTGTCTCATAGGCCTTTATTTAAGCTCGCTGATTTAATTAAATTTTTATTATTTTTTAAATTTTCCCGACTTGATTCCCATCCAAGTTTCTTTACAATGCTTATTTTATTTATTATTTTAAGTCAAATTTTAATTAAAAATTGTGGGGCGGGTAAAGGTAGAAATTTAAGTTGTTTTTGATAATTATAGTGAAGCAAGGCTGACTCACCCTAAAGAATACGCAAAAGTATTGGATAGGGTTTGATCCTGAGAGCTCTCCGATTGTTGACAAACTCAACAAAATGAAAAGTTTAAATTAAAATTTAAACTAAGTTTTTCCACTTTTCAAATTCACAAACAAAAACAAATACTTTTTATTTCTTTACAATAGAAATAACAAAGGAGATTGAAAAAAATCTGATTTTTAAGAAATAGTTCAGGGTTTATATATTAACTAAAGTGGGCGTGATGGAGAAAAAGAATTTTAAATAAATATTATTCAGTGAGTCAAGAGAAAGTACAAAAAAAATATTTTTTAAAAAATAATAAAGTGAATCATGTCGCTTTTTGCGACACCGATTAGCGAGAGAGCTCAAGGACTAGACAACCATTTCTAATAGTGTTGCGGTCTTTTGATGTTTACAGTTCCATTGTGTCAAGAGATAAAGGTTCATAGGATGATATCAACTCTCCGATTTAAGCTTCTTAACGACACTGACTAATCGCTTGCTTTTTGCTTTATTTGCTAGGCTAGGGACTCACGGCTCTCAGGGCAGTGGGCAATTGGAAGAGTATACACTTTAGCTTGGGGTAGTACGGCTGGGAATAGACTTCATTCTTTACATCCACTTCAGCTACAAGCCCCTTCATAAATCCAAACTTATTTAAGGTGAAATTCATCCTTTGAATGTTGTTCAACCCCAACAGGCATTTAATGCTCCCCCAATTCTTCCGGAAACTTTTGAAGCTCCTAAAGGTGTCAACTACCCTGATACTTCAATCTATGGATATCGAAGAATGTTAAAGGATCAAGGCAACAAAAACAAGGAAAACCCCACTGGGAAGGAGAAGAAAGTGTCAAAGACATTAAAAAACAAATTGCAGGCTCGATACAATGTGGACGTCAAAAATAAATTTAGTGCTTTGAACGGCTTAACGGAGGCAAAGGAAAAAAATTTGTTCAACAACGAAAAGGGGAAAAATAAAAAAGAGTTGAAGGGGAAGGAAAAGTGTGAAACTGAGTGTGATGAAGCTCTTGAAGAGCCTTCAACTGGAAAATCGAACAGAAAATCGAGCAGGAATTCGAGAAAATTACTGAATGAAAGTATCAAGGACGTAAATGTGACATTTGACAATAAGCCTAAATTTAATTGTTGCAATCGTCATCATATGAGTGTTTTGGTGACTGCATTTTTGGCTTGTTCTGGACTTAGAAATTACGCAAACTTGCAAACTTCGTTTATTTGCGATATTAGTAAGTTCAAAACGAGCAGGTTCGCCCGGGAGATGTTCTCTTCAGCCTACTTATAGTTTGTAGGTGTCATTTTTCCAGTTTACCTGGGAGATATTATCTTCAGCCTACTTATAGTCTGAAGGTGTATTTTTCCAGTTCGCCTGGGAGATGTTCTCTTCAGCCTACTTATAGATTGTAGGTGTCATGCTTTTCTCGCCTACCTACATCCTAGTCTGAACAGAATCGGTCCACTCCGAGGGGCATATACCTTAAATGATGGCATTCAACAGTGATGGTGTTCCGAACGGGTCATCTCCTTTCAGCCTACTTACTAGTCCAAACGGAACATGTCTCTTCAGCTTACTTCTTATTCCGAACGTGTCATGTCCATTCAGCCTACTAGTCCAAACGGGACATCTCGCTATAGACTACATTCTCGTCCAAAGGGACATGTCTGTTCATCTTACTTCTTATTCCGAACGCGGCATGTCCTTTCGGCCTACCAACTAGTTCAAACGGGCATATCTTTTCAGCTCATATCCTATTCCGAACGGGACATAGTATCTCTATTACATTCTATTAATTCTCTTTACTAACAATAGATACGAACGAGGGTTTATTTGAGTCTGTGACATGTGGGCAACAATACAACTGTACTCAACCTCCCTGTGAACTGACGGGATACGCTTGTAATGCTGAACAAGAATATCTAGAAGTGCTATCCAAAGATTTTCACGAATATATTGGCGAAAGTCAGCCGTTCACAATGTATTGCCCGATAGGTCATAATGGAGAGGATGTGTTGGTCGCTGAGGGATTTGGAAGCTGCGATGATAGTGGAAGTCGCGAATGCAAAATTGACTTTAAACAAATTGTGAACTAAAATTAGACATTGGGTTAAGTGGGGGAGAGATAAAAGAAATATGAAATGATAATTTTTTAGAAAAAATCTGAATTTAACTGTATTCATTGAATATAAAATTTTTTGCTTTATGAGATAAATAAAAATTTATTATTATGGTAACTGAAAGTTAAAGGTACCCAAGAGTTACGAGTCCATTACTCCAAGAAGCTCAAGCTAAAAGTTGAACATATTATAGCCTGCCTCACTGGTAGACTTCGCACTCACACTATTGAGGGGGAAAGTAGCTTTGAAGTTCCCTACTATATGAGCTAACAAATTTTGGTCACTATATTGAGGTGCTATTGAACTGGAGAGCTCCACACAAAGGAGAGAGTCCCATTACTCTGTGGCAATAGCAGATTAAGATAAATAATAGTCAGATCCTAATTAAGGTACCTCTAATTATAAGATAAAATTTCGAACTCCAAGTGTCCATGTATTATATTATATTAATGGAAAGGTATACCAAGGATATGCCTATCATAGTCATTTCAAGTTACTAAATAAAAATTTTTTATAAAATTTTTATTAATTTTTTTCAATGTTTCCCTCAAGCTTTTTATCGTAAAACATCCAAAACATTCCCAAAAAATCTTTTTTTGGGTGGGCGGTAAATATTCATTAGTTATCCAACAACATTTTAAACAACTTTCTAGGAATATAACGGAGAGATATTGTTAAATCCTTTACATTTTATATTAAACAGGAGAACGTAACAGCTGTTTAATCTCGAGTGATCTGAGTAGAATGGATAGCCCAAAGCTTTATTTAAACAAAAAATGTTTGTTATTTAAGTGAGTTGGGTTAAACCTAAACTAAACTGCCTTTGGCAATTGTTTAAGATCAATAAAGCCAACTTTCTATCTATTAGGAATAAAGGAGATCCAGCTTGCTAGCACCTTAAACTCTTCCTAGGCGATGATATAAGATAGATTAAAAAGGTTAGGTGAAAGCAATGAATAGGCAATGCAGTCGGAAGAGCACCTATACGAGGTGAACAACAGCTTATAGCAATAAATATAAGAAACACTTTAAACTATTCCTAATTAAGAGGTGGATATGAGGAGGATATTGATGGATATCTATATTAGTTTACGTTGGAATCTCTCTATAAAAACATCTTAAAGACAGACACCTCCCTCCCCACAGAAGCTCTCTATAACGACTTCTAAAAAACTCCTACTAATCCTCTAAACCCCACTAATCCCATTATATCCTTCTTAATCTCTCTAGATCCCTCTATATCCTTCTTAATCTTTCCAAATCCCTATATATCCTTCTTAATCTCTCTAACTCCATCTATATCCTTATAGATCCCTCTCGATCATTCTATATCCTTCCAAATCACACCATATCCTTCTTAATCCATTTAAATCACTCTGTATACTCCTAAATTCCTCAATATCTTTCTAAATCCTCTGAATCCCACTATATCCTCTATATCCTTCAAAATTCCTCTATATTCTTCTAACTCCCTCTAGATCCCTCTATATTTTTCTTAATCACTATTTAACTTCTAAATCCCTCTAAGACACTCTATATCCTTCTTAATTCACACAGTCCTATTATATCTACCCCAAGTCCTTTTAATCTCTTTACTTCGCTCTAATACCCACAAATCCCCTGATACACAATAGATCTCCCTTAATATCCCTCTTATCCCCTCATATCTCCTGATAAGTTCATAAGGCGTTCAATTGATCTTTCAAAAATTCCTTTTTTCAATCAAAAATTTTTTTCAACACCCCTTTCATTTCAAAATAAGCCTAGTAAACGAATCATTCCCCTTTTGAAAGCTTTTAGGTGAAAATATGAGAAGGTTGAAAAGATGAATAATATTTATGTAAGAATTCTTTTAAAAAAAGGAATGAATAATCCCCCTTTATATTAATGCTGTAACAATTTTTTGTTCAATTTTATACACACTAGAATATTATTTATTGTTTCTCCTTGTATTTTGAAATATTTTTTTTTCGTAATATTTTTAAATATTTTACTGGAAATTATTTAAATTCACCCTTTTTCTTGTTAAAATAAATTTTCAATTAAACTAAACTATTATCGGTCCGAGTCCACCCCAAAAAGACCTACAGCCAGTAGACCTATTGAGTCGATTTCACCGGAAGTTTAAAGCGAATATCGGGAGATTAAGAGGGATTCAAAGCCAGTTAAGGGGGATAAATACACTTCTCCATGAAGTTAAGTACCCGGTCTGTATTTTATAACATATAACTATGGGTGGGTATCCAATTCAATTAGACTAACTCCATCGATATCCGCTTAATCCCTCCAAATCCACCGATAATCCCTTTTGATATCCGCTTTCAAAAGTTGTAGGTCTTTTGGGTCAACAGGCCTTTTGGGTGTAGGTTTTTTAGGTTTACCCAAACGGTCGGTTCAGGTGATATCCAAAAAAATTTTCAAATTCTCCAAGACCGACAACCCTATTTTCAACAAATAATTGATATTTTTATTTATTTACTCATAATTATTTAACATTTATTTTAACACATGTTTTTTTAATTTTTGGTTAAAAGCCTAAAGAAATTTTTGGAATTTTTTAGTTAAAAACACTTTGTTTACTAAAATTGTTTACGTAATATAAATTAGCTTTTCTTAAATCCAAAGGAATTGTTCAGAAGAGTTGTTTGTTATTTGTCTTATATTTTTAGAAAAGTCATATTAAGTAAAAACTTTATCTCAATTGAGTCGCAAATAAGGTTGTCGGATAGTTGGAAATCTTTCGACATCCGGATCCGACATCCGAACGAAAATTTCCGAATATCCTGCCTTTTTTCGGATCCGGATATCCGGACCAGCCTTACAAATTAGTCTCAACAGAAATGAAACAAACAATTATTTAATTATTTTGTTCACTATCCTACTATAACATTATTTCATTTGAATAGGCTTACATAATTTAATTAATATTAAGTAAAAATTTTTTGAATCTTAAATATTTTTAAAATTGTCTATATTCTTTTTGTATTTACCATTCTAACATAGTCTAACTTTTACTATACCTCATAATAAAATATGCCTAAATAATTTAACTTATATTAAGTAAAAGTCTTTTCAAATTTAAATTTTTTTAATATCATTTGTATTCTGTTTCGTTTCTTTCATTCTAATATAGTCTAACTTTACTATACCTCACAGTACAGTATGACCTTATTCTAATATAGTTTCACCTCTCTATAATACATACCCAATATAATATACGCCTCGCTATAATATGCACCTCTATTTAAGATACACTTTTAAATTTGATTTGCCACTGGTGTTGGAGGGAGAGCTTCTTAATCTCATTATAAGACACAATTTTTTGAGTCCCGAGATATATCTTATATTGAAATCTGACCGTAATTTAGTCCAAAAATTTTAATTTCCGATTCAATTGTCCATAAAATGACACCGAAATGACACCAAAATTAATTTTCCGAGACATGCCTTTACAGGCCTTTTCAGTCTCTAATAACCTCCCCACTCAATCAACACTCAGTCCCATCAAGAGAATAAAAATAATAAAAATCCTAACAGCTTTACCAATCCATCAAACCTTTAAAAAATCTTTTTTTCACATTCTTATTTACCAGAAAGCATCAGTTGTTCCCACAAACATGATCTTCAATAAACCTTTCCTAGGAATTGAGTGATCCATTACATAAACATTTTTCTTATTACCACCCAAACCAAAAAATTCTTTTAAAGTGTGGCTATTTCAAGATTTTACTAATTTTATAGTGAATTATTATCCCATTTTGTTTAGTGTGGGACTCCGAACCGGGTTCCCGTTAATGAACGATTTCTTGGATTCGATAAGAAAACATTTGAAACCTCGTACCACCTGATAAACCAACTGATGACCACTCGGGATACAACACAAATTTGATTCCCGATGCCACCCTTATCCATAACCTTCCTCGTTTATTTGGTGAACCACCCCAGTCCCTCCTCCTCGGGATTTTCTCTCCATAACGGGAGCAGGCCAACGTATCGCAAACTATAACTTCGTTCAGGTTTGACGAATCCAAAATCGTTTGACTTAATCGTACCATACCTCCTTTGTAATATTTTTCTTGCGTCTCAAAATTCAAAAAATCTCTCTCTTTTGATCTCTCGCTCTTTTGAGTGTCTCATAACTAGTCCATTTTTAAATTAGTCCATTTCTAGTCCATTTTTTCCATTTTCTCTTTAAACCCTATAACAAAAAAATCCCAATAAAAATTTTTTAAACAAATTTCCCCAATAAAAACACACATTTCTGATCCATATTTATAGATTTTTATCTTCTCTAACTAAAAATAAAAATTTTTTTTACTTCTCTATTACAACATTAATGATCTAATATAAAGGGACAGATGTGTGTAACCGCCTACACACAAAACTAAAAAGTTTTAAAGCCTGGAGGCGGCAGCATATGCTCATTTTATTTACTTGCTATTTTTAACTCATTTAACTTTACTTAAAAACTTTTATTTTTGGAAACGGATTATTAATACTAAGAGCTTTTAAAGAATTTATTTTTCACCTGAGTCAAAATCGCTTTTTACAAATTTTCATTTTTCACATTCTATTTTTCAAAATTTCGTTTCGGCCCTCCCGTGATACCTACTAGAGACGTCCGAGACTCTCGGCCCCACAATTCACTCAAATCCTTTGAATTTGCCTCTAACCCTTTGATATCACTCGATATCTCCTTAATCCACCCAAATCCGCTGATTTTATACCCGTGATACCTACTAGAGACGTCCGAAACTCTTGGCCTTATAATTCACTCAAAACCCCTGAATATCCCTATTAATCCTTTGATATCTCTCGATATCAACTTAATCCACCCAAATCTTCTGATATATTCCTTTGATTTTCCACATGGATAAATTTTTGGTTTGATTCATATTCTTAGTACCTCCTTTGTTTGTAATTTAACATTTTGTCTTATTCTTATTCTGATTCCTTTTTGTCATTTAGTATTTTTTATCTTTTACCATTTTGACTCTATTATACCTTTTCTTTTAACCTATTGTAATAGTTTTCTTCTAGTATCCTTTTGTCTTTTACCATTTTGACTTATACGTTTTCTTATCGTACTCTTTTTTGTTTTCTTATTGCCCCTTTCTGTCTTTTATCATTTTGCCTAATACCTCTTCTTTTACCCTTTTGTCTTTGTTTTCTTATTATTATACCCTTTGGTCCTTTACCATTTTGTCTTATACTTCTTTTCTTACCCTTTTGTCTTAATTTTCTTATTGTACCCTTTTGTCGTTTACTATTTTTCTTCCCTTTTTCTTTTACTATTCTGTTTTATTCTCCTTCATATCTCTTTCTTCCTAATTTTTTTGTGGCAGCCATTATACGGAGAGAACAATATAGTGTACTATTTCCCTTTATTTTTCTCAGTATTACACTTATTTTACGATTCTATTCTTTCTTTTTTTTTTATATTTTCTCCCCATTCAAAATTTTTTGAAGAAAATAGCCGTAAAAATAAGAAGAAATAGAATACTTACAGACAAACCATTCTCAAATTATATATAGGGAATTTTTGGGACGGGGGGTTTTTTTGACCCCCTAAAAATTCAAAATCCTTTAACTATAGTTGAGATACTCTTGTTCTCTAACCATGTTTTGCTTCACATATAAAATAAAGGGAAGACGTCTTCTTTAGAGATAGGTTGAAATGTGTTTGGTATAAACTTTTGCACCACACTGTATAAAATTTTTGGAACGGGGGGTTTATTTTGACCCCCTACATTTGTAAAGAGTTAATCTCTTTTGTTCTCTACCCTAGTTTTGCTCCTCATATAAAATATAAGGAAGACGTTTTCACTAAAAATGTGATGAGATTTACTTGATATGGGCTAATTTTTTTATATATAGATAAAATTTTTGGGTCTGGGGGTCGTTATGACCCCCTAAGTATATAGACTATATAGTTAATATTTTTGTTCTCTAACATGTTTTGCTCCTCATATAAAATAAAAGTAAAATGGAATCGCATACAAATAGGAATTGCATACGTAACTAACCGCCATCGCATACGTAACTTATCGCTAGTATAAAATTTTTGGGTCTGGGGGTCGTTCGACCCCCTACATTTAGAAAGATATTAGTTAATATTCTTGTTCTCTAACATGTTTTGCTTCACATGAAAAATAAAAGTAAACCGTTTTCTCTATGAATGTTATGAAATATAGTTGGCATAAACTTTTGTACCACACTGTATAATAATTTTTGGACCGGGGGTCTCTATGAACCCCCTACATTTTTATAAAGATATTAGTTAAACTCTCTTGTTCTCTAGCCTATTTTGCTCCTCATATAAAATAAAAGAAAGCGTCTCGATGAATATGAAATGAAAATATCCTGAGTTGGACCCCTCCCCTATATTTTTATATATATTGAAATTTTTGGGACTGGGGGTCTTTAAAGACCCCCTTCATATTTAAAGGTGTAGCATAAATATTTTTGTTCTCTACCCTTGTGTGCTTCCCATATAAAATAAAAGAGGACTTTTCTTTACAAGCTATTCTCTTTTTCTTCTCACAACGGCTAACTCAATCGTGCGGTACTGAAACGGTTTAGAATTTTTGGGAAGGGGGGTCTTTTTGGACCCCCTACATTTTTAAAATTATTAACAATAAGATTTTTGTTCTCTAACCTTGTGTGCTACCCATATAAAATAAAAGTAGACACTTTCTTTACAGAGTAGTCTTTTCTCAAAGAGAACAGACAGCAGTTTTGACCCACTCAAGTGGCAAGAATTTTTGGGACTGGGGGTCTTTATGGACCCCTTATATTAAAAATCTTTTAAGCCTTTTTGAAGAGTTCTTTACATATTGCCAATTTTCTCTAAACTTCCACGGTATAACTAAATATTATCATAACTAATTTTTCTTGCTACCCATATAAAATAAGAGGAGAATAATTCTTTACATACTAGCCTTTTGTCATAGAGAGCGGCGTGACTGAAACGGCGTACTCTGAATCGTAATTCGAATTTTTGGGCCGGGGGGTTTTTTTCGACCCCCTACATTTTAAAAAATTTTAATGTAATACTTTCTCTCCATAAATAAAATGTACGTATTCTGTATAAATTTCAATCTTTTTTTATGAATATCAGCATATTTCGGACACACCATTTCTGCATGAATTTGGGGGTCTTTCTTGACTCCCTACATTTGAAAAATGTTTAATTCAGACACTTTCGTTCTCTAACCTTTCTTTGCTACTCATATAAAATAAAAGAAACATTTTCTGTATAAATTGCCTTCTTTGTCTAGAGCTCACCCCCCGACGTAACTAAACTCGCCAGAGTGTAATTTTTGGGCTGGGGTTTCTTCTTGAAACCCTTTAATGGAAATCCTTGGATTATAAGAAATTAAAATAGTCTCGGAATACAGTATCTTAAATTTTTTTGAGTTGATTTTTTAATAAGAACATTTTAATTAAAATGGTGTGCCTTCCTTCTCTAATGGTCCTTTTCTCGCTTCCTTCTCTCAATTTTTGGAACTATTCTAATTTTTTAGGCTGGAGGGTATTTTATGAATCCACCTTCTTTGAAATTTTCTTTTAATTTTTTAGAAACTTTACTATATCTTATCCGAATTAGCAAGAAAATACTGTGATTCCTCTTTGTTATTATTCCAGGAAATTAAATTTCACCGAGTTTCTCGTTATCGTGTGAAGGTATATTGACTCGGATAACAAGTCTTTCTACGAAAATAAATTATTTAAATTTAATTCGTGATTATTAAAAATATTCGAGATGTCTTTTAAAGCGAGAATTATTATTTTAATGTTTATTAAAAAATTTTAATATTGGAAAATTTTTTTTTGAAAAATTTTTGAAAATTTTTTTGAAAATTTTTTTGACTTTTTTTCAATTTAAGAGTGCCTTCTCTATACTTGTGCCTTTTATATTAATTTTAATTCTTGACCTAAAAGTCTAAAAATCAGCAAAAATGGACGCCATCAAGAAGAAGATGCAGGCGATGAAGATCGAGAAGGTGGAGAAAAAATTATTTTGAAAAATCAAAAAAATTTTTTGAAAATTTTTCTTTAAAGGATAACGCCATAGACCGGGCGGACGCTGCAGAAGAAAAATGCAGACAGACTCAAGAACGCTTAGAACGCGTTGAGGAAGAGTTGCGCGATACTCAGAAGAAGATGATGGTGAATTGAGAATATTTTTTTTAATTTCTGAAAATTTTCAAAATTGAAATTTTTTGAAAATTTTTTTAAAAATTTTGAAATTTCTGAAAATTCTGAAAATTTTTTTAAAATTTCTGAAAATTTTGAAAATTGAAAATTTTGAAAAATTTTTGAAAATTTCTGAAAATTTTTTAAAAAAATTTTGAAATTTTTTGAAATTTCTGAAAATTTTTGAAAAATTTTGAAATTTATGAAATTTCTGAAAATTTTTGAATTTTTTTTTGAAATTTTTGAAATTTTTTGAATATTTTTGAAATTTCTGAAAATTTTTGAAATTTTTTTTGAAAATTTTGAAATTTTCAAAAATTGAAAATTTTTTTTAAAAAACCTTGAAATTAAAATCTTAAGGCAATCGAAAACGAGTTGGACAAGGCACAAGAGGACCTTTCCTCCGCAAACAATGCGCTTGAGGAGAAGGAGAAAAAAGTGCAGGAGGTGGGTCATTAACAAAATATTTTTTTTAATTGTGGCACTGTTTCACTATTTGTTTTTATAGTACTGTATTTCTGTATATGGGTTGTGTAAATGATATTTTGTGTGAATTTCTTCGAATGCAATTGAGAAAAAATATTTTTTTGTGGGTAATTTCACCGAGTGTTTGCTTGGGTATCTCAAGAGGGACACTCGCGATTCGTTTATTAGCTTACTGTTTTTTCATGGTCCTCTCAAGCGTAAAGTTATACAATTGGATCTCACCTATGTCTACAAGCATTTAGGGTCCCTCACTCACATGTGGGAGTCACTCACTCCCTCACTCACTTGTGAGAGACAATACTCCCTCACTCACTTGTGAAAGTGAGATCACTTGTGAGAGACACACACTCCCTCACTCACTTCTGAGTGACACTCACTATCTCAACTGGGTGTAGAGATTGTGTCTCCCAAGTGAGTGTCACTTATTTAAGGGTCACTTTTGGGCACTCTCATGGATGTATGCATAAATAAGGTACGTATTCATAGTTAACTTCAAATATAGAGTGTTAAGCTTATCTACTAAGGGTTTATTTACCCTGATTTTTTACAGACACCTTAAGTACCTCCTTGAAGCCTTAATATTCAATTTAACTAATAATTTTCCCAATAATTTAATTTATCTCTTAAACAATTTTTTTCTATATTTTTATTTAACAATTAGCATTATTTGTAAGCATTTACAACTTTTCTCCTCTCTCTCATTATTTTTTGAGTACTCCCCCTAAATTGGTTGATTGATATCGTCACGCGCACACAAAACGAGTTGTTGTATTAAAAGAACAAAAACAAGCGTAGATTATTCCAAAAAGTTTATTTTTCTTTAAAAATACAAGCCTGATTAGCTATCATTTTTTGTTTTGTGATTTTTAATGGGAATGCTGCTAAAATAATTTTTGGTTTTAATGATGGAACAGAATAGGGAAATTAAGCTCCTTTCAATTTTAAGCAATAAAATATTTTTTGGAAGCTACAGAGGGGGGGGGGGTTCTTTCAATTTTAGTCAGTAAAAAAATTTGTTTAGCTACTGAGTGAGGGGGGGGGGGGGTGAGAAAGGCAGAGAAGGCCAACTTACTGCGAGCTGAACATATCGCAGAGCTATAACGTCTTTCAAAATAGTCGAATCCTGGAAACCTTGTATGGTTCGATGCTTCTCGACGAGCTGAATTGAACCATATCAGGGCGTTCCGGATTCGACCATTTTGAACGAAGTTATAGCTCAGCGCTACGTTGGCCTCGCGGTACGTTGGGGTGTACCCAGAGAGGACTTAATATTAAGATGGGTCCCCTCTTCCTTTTTCTCTCCCTTTCCCTCCTTCAACTATGCATATCAACCCCTTTTCCCTCCCCTCTCTCATAGTTTCCCTCATCTCCCCCCTTTATAGCTTCAGAAATATTTTAGCTAAAAATCATCCACAAACGATGCCTAATTATTAATTTTTAAAATAAAATACACTTTATAAAACCACTCCATAAAAATACAAAATTTAAAAATTTATTTGTATATCTATATTTTTGGTGATTTGATCTTTAAATTTGCGCAACGCCGACAAAGAAAAAAGCGATGGAATTTCGCTATCTATCATATTCTGTTCCTTAATTTGTTAAAAGTAAATTGAACTTTTCAGAATTTTTTATTTTATTAAATTAATTAAGCTTGTTAAAAATACTATAGTTATATTCTTTCCGGAATTTTGTATTTTCCTTATAAATTCAGAATATTCTCTTTGAATATAAAATCAGAATATTTAGTAATAATAATCGGGGATCCCGGAGAAAATACAAAATATTCTGATTTATTAAATAATAATTGTTTTTTCTTTATAAAATCAGAATATTCTATTTTAAAATAAAATCAGAATTTTAGTAATAATTTGTGTTTTTCCGGAATATTTGGTTAAATTCTGATTTATGTATTTTATGTATGTGTTTTGTTTTCTGATGTGTTTTATTGATGAAATCAGAATTTCCTTTTTATAAAAATAAAATCAGAATCTTAGTAATAATTTGTGTTTTCCGTAATATTTTCTAAAATTCTGATTTATTAAACAATATGTGTTTTCCTTATTAATTCAGAATTTTTTCTTTATATTTTTAAGTCAGAGTTATGTATTTTCTGGAATAACTCAAAATATTCTGAGTATAACTACCGGAATATTCGCTAAGATTCTGATATTATAAGAAAAAATGTGTATTTTCTTTATTATACAAATCAGAATATTTAAATCAGAATATTATTAATTTAAACATAATATTAAATCAGAATATTCTTACAAATCAGAATTTCGATAATTATAATTTATTTTCTGAAATAATTCAATTATAATATGCATAATTATAAATTATTTCCGGTAATTATAAATTATTTCCTTTATAATGTATTTTCCGGAATATTCACTAAATTTTGACTTATGAAATTATTTTTTTATTTTCTTCATAATATCAAAATTTTTTGTCTTAAGTTTATATTCTTTTCTAAAATTCTTTTAATATTTTGTATTTTGTTATTATTACTTAAACACATTCCATTCCTCTTGCCTCATTCCTCATAATCATAAAAAAATTTTCCACTCATAGCGCGCAACATATATACCTCAAGAAACACTTGAAGGTCGGCGGCTGGTATGCTTCTCGCCAGCCTTTTAATATTTGTTATTGTATAAATATCGCTTCACTTTAAGGTCGCGAATTCCTCAACAATTTTCTTTATTATATTATATTTTCCTCTAAAAAGTAGCAGCTGCTTAAGGAAAAAAATGCACATTTTTGAAAGAACTCATAACCTCATTCTGTTTTATTAACATAGAGAAAATTCTGATTTTATTAAGAAAATACAAAATTATTTAATAAATCAGAATTTTATTCCGGAAAATACATTAAAATCAGAAATAATTTATAATTCCGGAAATAATATATTATTGTAGTATAATTGAGTTATTCCGGAAACTACATTAAAATCAGAATAATCGTTTCCGGAAATAATTTATAGTTATACATAGTATAATTGAATTATTCCGGAAAATACATTAGAGTCAGAAATAATTTATAATTTCCGGAAATAATTTATATTATAGTATAGTTATAACGGAAAATACACTAAAATCGTAAATAATTTATAATTTCCGGAAATAATATATAATTATAATATAATTGAGTTATTCCGGAAAAGTTATTTATTATTAAATATTCTGATTTTATTGTTATAAAAGGAAAATTCTGATTTTATAGTAAAATACATTTAATACATAAAACAGAACTACATATAATCTAACAGAACTATAATTTAATAAACCAGAATTATAATCAAAATATTATGTATTATTCTGGAAATACAAGATAACTCTAATTTTCTATGAAAAGAAAATTCTGATTTTTAAAATAATACAACGATAATAATAAATCAGAAATTAATAAAATATTCCGGAAAATACAAAGAAATACTAATATTCTGATTTTATGTGTTATTAATGTGCTGATTCTATTTTCAACTATTTGTATTCCTTTATTTTAATTAATTCTACATCAAATAGATTTGATCAACACCGTTTAAAAATTTAGTTAAAATAATTATACATAAATTTTCACTATTTTCCTACATAAATTCCTATCCCTTTCCTTTTTGCCCGATAAATCTGAATTTTTTGTCCATTTCTCTTTTTACATTTCCTCTTAAACCGTCCGGCTGGTTCTAACGACAACCCCTTTCTTTTCCTTTAATTCCCATTATTTAATTGACGGTTTGGCAAAAAACAGCGAGGACAGGGAAATGAAAGAATTAAAAAAGACACGCGCAAAACAACTACTTTTAGCACAAATGTGTTTTTCCCGTTTTAGTGCATTCCCTAGGCAATTATGCTGTTTTATTTAAATACATATAACGCATTCTAAAAAGGTTTTTATGTATTTAATAAATGAAAATACAAAAATAAACAAATACATTTCAGAATAAATTTTATAAATCAGAATTTATATGTTTTATAAATCAGAATTTTATATATTTTGTATTTTCCGGATGTATTTTGTATTTTTCAGAATTAAAGTTTTATCAGCTCAGTAATTACTTTCCGGAAATATTTGCATTATTCTGAATCAGAATTAATTCTATTTGTATTTTCCGGAAATAAATTTAATTTAATTAAACTTTTTCCGGAATAAAGTATTAATTTTTGTATTTTCCGGAAATTATTAAAATAATTTTTATACTTTATACATACAGAATAATCAGAATTAATTATATCTTATTTTCCGGAAATAAACTTTTTTGAATTAAACATAGAATTGTTTTCAGGATCATATTATTAATTGAATAATTATATATTTTTTCTGGTATGCGTACAGCCAGAATAGATCAGAATTATGTAACTTTATTTTGTGTTTTCCGGAAATAAACTTTATTAAATTAAACTTTTTCCGGAAGACATTATTTAATTATTCAGAATTTTCATGAAATTATAAAAGTCATTTATATATTTCTTCCGGTTAGAATAAATCAGAATGAATTATATTTTTTCCGGAAATAAACTTTATTAAATTAAACTTCTTCCGGAATGAAGTATTAAATTTTGTATTTTCCGGAAATTATTAAAGTAATTTATTTAATCTATCCATACAGAAAAATCAGAATTAATTTTATTTTATTTTCCGGAAATAAACTTTATTAAATTATATTTTGTATTCTCCGGAAATTATTTTGTATTTTCTCTTGTATTTATTCACAGTTGTACAAAATATTCCCCTCAAATTCTTATATTTAAAATACACACAAGAATATTCCAGGAATGCGACTGTCTTTAGTCTGTTTGCCTTCCCTATTGAAAACCAAAAAATTCTGAAACTATCCCAATCTCTTTGTATTTTTTACTAGCATTCTAAATCTTTCCCCAAACATTTACTATCATTTTTATTTTTTTCAGTATTTTTTCGCTTAACACCGCACGCGTTTTAAGGCCAATAATACAATGACATAGTCATCATTCCTTGTCCATACTCACTTTTTTGTTATATTTTTTTTCGTTCCCAGTTATTCACCCTTTTTATATTTGTTTTTAGCTGGTGAATCTGTCAACATTTTTTTGTATTTTTCCCCAAAAAAAAGATTTTATCAAGGCTAAAATAAAAATATTATTTTGCCTTGTTTATTATTAGCTAGCTAAACACACATAAATTTGTAAAAATAATTTTATAGACCAAAATATATTTTTTATTTGTAAAAATATCTGTCTGCTCATACATATTTTTTACATTAATTTACTTTTTTTTAATTTTTGTCCATATTGAGAGACACTCTAATCGAGAGAGTTCTCCTTCCGTTAAATAATCGTCATCTCGTTATAACAACGCTTATTTACACACCTTTTGAGTAGGTAACTTTTAGTTGTCGGTCAGTCCATTGTATGGTGTTATAACGAGAATTAAGTGTATTTCTTAGGCTTGGTAATGTATACGGATATGGATACAGATAAGTTCAAACTGCCTGCGGATATCCGTTTGTATCCGCCGTGAGTATCCGGATACGGATACTGAAATCCATGTCCATTACCAAGTCTGGTATATCCCTTATCCACTCGTTATATCAACACCAGTTTATTATCCGATCGAGGGGGATCTCAACTAATAAATAAGGCTAGACAACAGTTAGTCCATACTATGGGGGGATTATACAGAGATTCATTATATCATGGCGACTCTTGTTATATTAGCACATATGTATTTACAGGTCCATGATTTTAAGCTGTTAGATCGGTGGTTAATAGGGATAGGACTGCATATCTTGTAGTCCAACTTGTGGGGCTATTCGAGAGTAGAATTTCCTCTCAACCCTATTTTCAATTTAATTTCCTTCTTACTCCTATTTAGTTTTCATCTGTACAAATTAAGCTTCAACTAATAACTAATATAAATATTTTACTAATAGATTATTACAAATATTTGCGCAAATGCTTAAAACATTTTATTAGGTATAAGAGGTATAGCCAGTCTTCCCTATTTTCCTTAATTTTCTAATGCTTTAAAAACAAATTAGGGAAAATTACCAAGTACTTTAGCTATCCTATTAAATATTTATTTGTTTTTGTTGCATTCCTTGGATTAGGATTACCTGCTGTGAGGGTTCTAGACACATTTTTTCTTTAAATAAAAACAAATAAAGCTTCCTATATCTTTAGGGAAGCTTTATTAGATCCTTAGAAATAATATTAAGATTGAGCGATAAATGAGGATTTTAATAAAACTAATTGGCTACTTCCACTACAGATACCCTTCGTGGTATATGTTTTGATCGGATATTATGCTGCCTCCAAGTGCTTTCTCCCCTGCTGGATATCTTATTTGGGCCATCTAGACACTAAAAATGGAATCAAGTCTATAGAGTTCTAGGGGTATATGTCTTCCTAAACTTCCAAATCTTCCCAATCCGTTCCCAAACCCTTTCCTAATCTCTTCCTGAGTCCGTTCCCAAATACCTTCGTAAATCCTCTTAGTTCCCAAATCCTTTCCTGCTTCCTTCCCGAATCCGTCCCCAAATCCCTTCTTAAATCTTTCCAAGTCCGTTCCCAAATCCCTTCACAGATCCTCCCAAGTCCGTTCCCTAACCTCTTCGTAAATCCTACCAAGTCGGTTCCCAAATCCCTTCCTAAATCCTCCCAAGTCGGTACCAAAATCCTTTCTTAAATCCTCCCAAGTCAGTTCCCAAATTCTTTCCTAAACCCTCCAAGGTCCATTCCCAAATTCCTTAATAAATCGTCCCATTTCTGTTCTCAAATCCCTTCACAAATCCTCCCAAGTCCGTTCCCAAATCCCTTCCTAAATCCTCCAAGTCAGTTCCCAAATCCTTTCCTTAATCTTTCCAAATCCGTTCCCAAATCCCTTTATAAATTTTCCCGAATCCCTTCCTTAAAATTTCTACCCTAACTTATTTGTCATTTATAAAATATAAGCAAGATAAAATCGAAAAAGTTGGCTGTTCTCCCTTCAAATATAAATATATTTTAGAGTAAGCTAGCTAGAGTTTGTTTGCTCAATCTTCAATACATTCTTCCTCTCTCCCCAAATTTTTTTTTATTTTTAAGCATACAAAAAGCCTTTAGGTACCTCTATTTGTTAGTTCTTTTGTGCTTCTTTTTCTTTCTCTTATCTTAAAAATCTTCAAAAAATATTTATTTTGTTCTTAGAAATCGAGTTGCTTTATTTTACTTTATATGTTTATTTACCAGCTTGATTTCAAGTTAATATTGTGTTTTTTTCTATTTTTTCCGCCTACTCATTTTCGTGTTCTTTTATAGTTAACGCGCAAGCCTTTCAATTTTATTTTGATATCAAATATATTTTTAAAAATTTGAAAAAATATTTTTATATTGAAAAATGATCAGTTTATCTCGAAAATATTTTGTGAGTTATTCTCTCCGTTTTCTTCATTTATTCATCCGGCTCTATTTACTCATTTAATCTACTGTGGGTTTTCTGGGGGGGGGGGCATATCAATTTTTGAAGATAAATCGTCTCTCTATCTTCCCTAAAATGACCCTCGTTCTAACGAATCTCTTCGACGATAGATGTTAATAAGATCGCCCTCGATCACGCATCTCTTGTGTCCTTTAGTGTCTTCTGCCCCTTCAAGTTCCTTCATTTATTAAATCGAGTCGATATTAGCTGTACATTTAAATATTCAAATAATCCAAATCAGAATCTATTAACTTGCAATTTTATACAATTATTCCCAAGAGTGTTATCTATCATCTTGGTCAATTTCAGAATTTTCGGTTGAAATTTTCATTTTTCACTTATTTTTATTTTTGCGCGCTGCCTTAATATTTGAAAATTTACAAAAATCAAAATTATTAGAGAAATTATAAATTAAATTAAAATGGCTTCACGAATGGAAAAGGGTGCTTCACAGCAAACATCGCTTCTAGATGTTCTTAAAAAGAAAATGCGTCAGGCTCGAGAGGAGGCGGAGCAGGCAAAAGATGAGGCTGATGAGGTTAAGAGACAGTTGGAGCAGGAGAGAAAGAAGCGAGAAGATGTAAGGAAGTTCAATAAAAAAATACAAAAATCAGAATTTTCAAAAGAAATACAGAAATCAGAATATTTAAAGAAAATACAAAAATCAGAATTTTTACTCAAAATACAATCAGAATTTAAAAAAATACAACAATCAGAATATTCAAAAGAAAATACAAAAATCAGAATTTTAGTAAAACACAAATCAGAATTTTTAAAAGTCAGAATACAAAAATCAGAATCTTTAAAAGAAAATACAAAAATCAGAATATTTAAAGAAAATACAAAAATCAGAATTTCAAAAAAAATACAAAAACCAGAATTTAAAGACAAAATACAAAAACCATAATTTCCAAAAGAAAATACAACAATCAGAATTCTTAAAAGAAAATACAAAAATCAGAATTTAGTAAAACACAAAAAGCAGAATCTTGAAAAATACAAAAATCAGAATTTTATAATAAATAAAAATACAATTCATAATAAAATAGGCGGAAGCAGAGGTAGCTGCTCTCAACCGCCGCATCGTCCTTGTTGAGGAAGATCTTGAACGTACCGATGATCGTTTAAAAGTTGCTACACAGAAGTTGGATGAAGCGTCGAAAGCTGCTGATGAGGCTGAGCGGTTAAATAAATTTTTTTATTAAAAAAATTAAAATACGCCAAAAAATATTGCGATGCGACTAGCGAATATCTCTCAATTAAGCGCTAATTTTTTCTTTTATTTTTATAAATTTGAATTTTGAATGTGAATAGCGTGGAATGATTCTAGGTGATCTATTTTGTATTTCCGTTTATTTTTACTGAAACAGTGCCCGTTCATTTTTATTTTCTATAAAATTAATGAGTTTAGGCCGAAGCTGAGGTTGCCTCTCTTAACCGCCGTATGGTTCTTCTTGAAGAGGAATTGGACAAACTTGAGGAGCGCTGCAAAGTTGCGACTGAAAAAATGGAGGAGGCTACCGTCAACTGCGACGAATCTGAGCGGTATTATAGGGGAAATGTATTTTACCGGGTGATAGGGAATATTAGAATAGGGGATTTTTGTTGTTTTTCCTTATTAATTTATTCATAAATTTGTTTTCCGGAAATTATATAAAATCAGAATATTTATTTTTCGTTTGTATTTTTCCGGAAAAGATTTAAATCAGAATTTATATTAAAAAATCAGAATTTATATTCTTTGGTTTGTGTTTTCCGGAAATTATACTTATAGAGTCAGAATAAAATAAAATCAGAATAATACGGAAAGGATTTAAATCAGAATTTATATAAAAAATCAGAATTTAAATGTTTTGGTTTGTGTTTTCCGGAAATTATATAAAATCTGAATTAAATAAAATCAGAATAATACGGAAAGAATTTAAATCAGAATTTATATATTTCGGTTTGTGTTTTCCGGAAATTATATTCATAAAATCAGAATAAAATAAAATCAGAATCGAATAAAATCAGAATTATAAGTATTTTCGCTTGTATTTTCCGGAAAACAAATAATTCCAGAATAAGCTTAATTTATGTATCAGAATTTGTATTTTGGGAAGGCTCTAAATATTATCAGAATTATTTGTTCTGTATTTGTGTTTTTGTTCTTGTATTTTATTTCTGTCGCTTATTTAATGTGTTTTATGATGTTTTATGATTTTCTTGTATTTTCTTGTATTTTCATGTCGCTTTATTTTACTATTAAATTTTGCTTTAATATTTTGCTTTAAAATAAAAATAAAATTTTTTTTTGCTTAAATAAAATTTCTGATTTGAATGCTTGATTCAGTGCTCGAAAGTCTATGGAAACTCGTTCCCAGGCAGACGAGGAGCGTGCAAATATACTCGAGGTGCAAGTAGATGAGGCTAAGGTGATTGCTGAAGATGCCGATCGCAAATATGAGGAGGCATGTTTTTCAATGCTTTTAATATTTTTTAAATTTTATTTGCTTATTTTCTTTATCTTTTTTCAAATTTATTAACTTCTTGAGTGGATTTGATCTGAAAAATTATTTTGGCAGCGACGCGCACCCAAATAATAATTACATAACTTGAGTGAATTTTACCTTATTCTAACCTAAAATTAATTTTTTAATTAATGAATAAAATTAATTGTGTGTTGTGTTGCAGTGAACGCAAAGCAATGCTTCAACGAGCTACTGTCGACGACGACCGTTGCGCGGAGTTGGAAGCACGGTTGCGCGAAGCACAGTCTATTCTACATGAAGCAGAAGCAAGGGCTGATGAGGTTTTGATGTTTATTTTTGAAGCTTGCTGTGTTTTGCTTTAATAGTTAAAAAAATTAATTTGTGTTTTAGCGCGAATTTTTGCTTAGTATTTTTACTTATATTACATATATTAATTAATTCAATAATCCTTCCGGAAAATTATATTAAAAATAAAACTTTCCGGAAAATTTCTATTAAAAATATAACTTTCCGAAAAGAATTATAAAATAAAACTTTCCGGAAAATTATAATAATTAATAATAAAACTTTCCGGAAAATTTCTATTAAAAATACAACTTTCCGGAAAAGAAAGTACTTTCCGGAAGTTTTATATTCTCTCCCAGAAATTAATTATTCATATCAGAATATTTATTTTCGGAAAATTCCGGAAGTTATTATATTTTCCGGAAGGTTTGTATTGTTTTATTTACTAATATTACTTTCCGGAAAAGTAATAATCTTCCGGAAAAATATTTTCCGGAAAAATAATAATCATCCGTAAAAATATTTTCCGGAAAAATAAAACCATCCGGAAAAATAATATTATCCACTAAATAATAATATTTTCCGGAAAGTATAACTCTAAAAAATAATATGTATTTTTATAATTCTGGTCTTATTTTTTAATTAATTATATAACTTTCCGGAAGCTCTATTTTATTTTAATTTGTATTTTGTCCTATAATTTGTATTTTTATTTTGTCTTTTTCTATTTATGTTTTGTATTTTTGTCCTTGTATTTTTACCCTAAATTGTTCTATTCTCCTTTATATCCTCCCAAATCTAGGTTTATCACCCTCTTTCTCTCTATAAATTCTCTTACCTTTCTAGCCAACGCAAGGTTATGGAGAACCGCTCCCTTCAAGATGAGGAGCGCGCCAATGCCATCGAGGAGCAACTCAAGGAGGCTCAAAGCTTGGCTGAGGAGGCTGATCGTAAATACGATGAGGTCCGCTCTGATTTCTTTGAGTGTGTGTTCTGCTTTTAAAATTAATCTGCGGGCCTTGATTGAATTTTTAATTAATATTGTTGTATTGATACAAACGAACCTCACTTATTGACCTCTTCGTTTAAGAGAGATCCCAATTTAGGGAAAACCCTTACTTTAAGAGACATCCCACTCCTAACACCTCAAATTATAATACATATTCATTTTAATAGACACCCCATCTTAACAGACACCTAATTTTGGAGACCTCCCCTCAATTTAAGTGACACCCCCAATCTAAGAGACATTGATAAGGGAAGGCCCTAAGGATATGTGAGGTTCGACGGCTTATTTTATTTTTTTGTATTTTCTTTTAAATTTTGCTGAATTCTGCTTCTTTTATTTATTTTTGCTTCATTTCTGCTCTTTAAATAATTATGAAATTAAATTTAAAATTATACGAATTTTCAGGTTGCTCGCAAACTTGCAATGGTTGAGGCAGATTTGGAGCGTGCTGAGGAGCGTGCCGAAGCTGGAGAGAAGTAAGTCTGACAAAATTTTTTCCTTTAATTTTAAAAATTCCTTTCTAATTTCTCTTAAATTCATTAATCTCCCTCTCTAATTAAACACCCTCTCTCTAATTAAACCCCCTCTCTAATCTCACTCTAATTATACACCCTCTCTCTAATAACTTAAAATTCACCCAAAATCTACTTCTATAGCAAAATTGTCGAGCTCGAGGAGGAATTGCGCGTTGTAGGAAACAACCTCAAATCCTTGGAGCTTTCGGAAGAGAAGGCAATGCAACGCGAGGAGGCCTATGAGGAGCAAGTGCGCTCGATGGAAGTTCGCCTTAAAGAGGTGTGTATTTATGGTACCCCCGTATTTATTCGTCCATTATAGTCGTTTTTGATTGCTCTAACCTTTCTGTTTGATATTAATTAACTCAACTAACTAATCTTTACACTGAACTCAGTAAAAAAGTTAAGCTCAGTCATAAAGCATCTGAACGTGACAAGGATGCTTTGGGTTAATCGAAACACGAAACCCTGGTTTTTCTCGACCCGAAACCATAGTAGAAGAAAATTTTTGAAAATACGACACCAAACTCGACCGGAATTTTTTCTCAAACCCAAGGTACAGTGAGTGACTAGCAATACTGCTAGCGAGTCTCAGGTTCGATGCCTGACCGGGCACTACCTCACACTACCCCTACCCCACACACTACCCCAAACTCGCCCGACACTTTCTCATACCCAAGGTACAGTGAGGGGCTAGCAGCGAGTCCCAGGCTTCTAGCGAGTCTTAGGTTCGATGCCTGCCCAAAGGAGAAGGCCCTCTCCATGCCCCCCCACATATACTTCGCTCTCATTATACTAACACCTCTAATTTTGTTTTTTTTATTTTCTTCATTAAAATTGTCTTAAAATCTATTCGTTGTTTGAAAAAATAATTTAAAATTTTGGCTTACCTAACGCTTATTTTTTGATTTTAGCAAAATTGTAGAGCTTGAGGAAGAATTGCGTGTTGTTGGTAATAATTTGAAGTCTTTGGAAGTTTCGGAGGAAAAGGCTTTACAGAGAGAGGATGTTTATGAGGAACAGATTCGTAACTTGACTGGGCGACTCAAGGAGGTTCTCTTCCTTAAAAATTAAGTTTAATCGAGGGAGGGGAGTACGGTATTGCTCACTTTGGAGAAAGGAACATTCACTCTATTACAAGGCCCAATTATACACCAAACTCTAATAGAATGCCATAGTTAAAGCAGACTTCCCAAGGATTCCCTGTCCAAGTTTAGGAGTTCCTAATAGGGCATATGAATAGCTTCATAAGTAGGCACAAGATTTGAAAGACAATAGGGATTCGCCATATTTTATAGACGTCTTCCCAAGGATTCCCTGTCCAAATTCAAAAGTTCCTAATAGAGCTATGAAGAAGCTTCATAAGTAGATACAAGTTACAAGACTTACAGACTTACAAGGCCCAATTATGTATACTACAAACTCTAATGGAATGCTTTATAGCAGAAGTCTTCCCAAGGATTTCCTGCCCAAATTTAGATGTTCCTACTACATAGAGCTTTGAAGAAGCTTCATAAGTAAGCACAAGACTTGAGATACGAAAGGGATTCGAGTTAGGAATTTCGAAAAATCCCGGGTCCATTACCTACTAAATTTTTGAACAGCTTGTTCAAAACCGAGAGCAGAACGAGTTTCAAATAATTGAGAATTGAACTCCTTTCAGACTTAGACTTTTTCGAGTTCGAAGAAAATTTTTCAGCCCTGAGTTAGTCCCCATCTGACTTATCTCCGTATATATACCTCCATCCCCTTAGTGAACCCTTTCCCTAATTATTAAAGGATTACGGTATTTAAAGGTATACTTTAGTTAAATTTTTCGTTGTTTGATTCTAATTTTTAAAAATTTTTTTCTGTTGTTTGAACTGATTTTTAAAGGCTTATAGTCCTTGTCTTTGAATTTAAAAACTCAAGTCCGAGTCAAATTAATTTAAAAATTTAAAGGCTGAGACTCGTGCTGAGTTTGCTGAACGTTCGGTTCAAAAGCTCCAAAAGGAGGTTGACCGGCTTGAAGGTGGGGGTTCTTTTAATAAATTTTTAAAAATAATTTTGCTATCTACGTTGCTTTGCTTAATTTTATTTTTTTATTTGGACGTTCAGAATTTTTAAAAAAGCTGTCTTTCGTTTTAAAATCAAATTTTTTGTGGCTTTTCGTGGCATTCTGTCAAAAATAATTTTTGTGGCAATTTGTCGAAAAATTTTTTGTGGCATTTTGTCGAAAAATTTTTTGTGGCATTTTGTCGAAAAATTTTTTGTGGCATTTTGTCGAATAATTTTTTGTGGCATTTTGTCGAAAAATTTTTTGTGGCATTATGTTGAAAATTTTTGACTTGGCATTCTGTAGATATTTTTGGTATTCTGTCAAAATTTAACCTTTTTTGGCATTCTGCCAAACTTTTTGAAAAATTTAAAAACAAAATACAGATGAGCTTCTTGTTGAAAAAGAACGTGTTCGCAATCTGACCGCTGAAATCGAGCAGACGGTCCAGGAAATTCAGGGCACATAATAATGAAGGGATTAACAATGGGGAACAATGATGGAAATTAAAATAATAAAGCTTTGTACTCGTTAAACAATTTTTTGAATATTTTAGAGTTGTATCTGGTTATAAGGTTACAGCCTACTTTCTAGTCTTAAAGGAAAACGTTCCCTTCAGCCTACTTTCTAGTGCGAAAGGAACATACCCAGCCTTCTCCATCCCTCTTTGTAGCAGTCTGAAGTATAGTCTCTTCAGCCTACTTCCTAGTGCGAAAGGAACATGTCCTATTTAAACCTCTCCCTTGTCACCATGGGTCTTGGTCCCTTCAGCTTACTTTCTAGTCTGAGAGGCAAACGTTCTCTTCAGCCTACTTTCTAGTGCGAAAGGAACAGTTCTATTTAAACCTCTCCCTAGTACAAAGGGTCGTGGTCCCTTCAGCCTACTTTCTAGGTTGGAAGGAACGGAGGTAACATTTCCCTCTCCATGTATGGCCATGTTCTCTCCGGGGGAAGGATCATCTCCTGAGAAAGGGTCATGTTCTTGTACACCCTAGTCTGAAAGACCATGTTCTCTTACCCCTATATCATAGTCTGAAGGGACATATAACTACATATAATGGCCCATAATGGCCTTATTCCCTTAGGCTGGCATCATAATCAGATCAACTTTAATCGTCTTTTGCTTTTAATAAATTAATGCTCTTATGTATTAGCTTGTTCGTTTATTTAGTAAAATAATTTAAAGCTTCATAAGCTTATTTAATTTTAAAATTTTTCGTGCTTTAGTTGTGCTTTAGCCTATTATTTTTACTAATATTTTTCAAAATTCACAATTTGACCTCGAATTAGAAATTTTGATTCATTTTCGATTGCGAGCTTTTGATTTCAACTTAGATTAGAAATTTCGATTTGAATTCGAAATTTCGTATTAGAAATTTCCAATTCGAAATTTCGAATTAAAAATTTTGATTTGAATTCAAAATTTCGATTTGAATTCGAAATTTCGATTTGAATTCAAAATTTCAATTTGAATACGAAATTTCGAATTAAAAATTTCGAGTTGAATCCGAAATTTCGATTTGAATTCGAAATTTCGATTTGAATTCAAAATTTCGATTTGAATACGAAATTTCGAATTCGAAATTCCAAACTAAAAACCCTCTAATTTTTCTAACAAGTTTTAAACTAAAATTTTTTGTGTGTTTTTGCAGTGGATTACGAAGATTTGCGTCAAAAGAATATGCTTATGCAATCGGATCTTGATCACTTTGTTCAAGAATTGCATTCAATTAACAACTAAATTAAAATTTTTAACACATGTTTGGAGTGTTTTAATGATGAGAAAACTTTTGCATTTTAAAATTTATTTAACCAAAAAAATTTTTTTGTTTGATGTGTGAGATAAGGGCTGTGTTTAGCGGAATTTTCTAAGATTGTGATCCTTTTCCTAAAATTTTAATAGAAAGACTAAGGTCTCATCGAGCTAAAGAGATTGGTAACTAAATTGATAAGGGCCAGAAATTTTCCAGCAAGTTATGGCCGCGCGCCTACTTGGGCGTGTCTCAAAAATACATGTCTAACTACGGTTTGAATAATTTCGATGGGAATCGAAATCGAAATTCGACAAAATTTCCAAAAAAAATTTTCCATTTCGAAGTTTTTTTCAGTTTCGACTTCGATTTCGTTTTGGATTCGAAGTTTCGCTTTAATTTCGATTTCGTTTTAGAATGTTTTCGATCATTATATAGTGTCTCCGACTCAATACAGAGCATTGCCCCGTTGATTTTACTAACTCTACCCCTAGAGATGCCGCTCTAAACAGCCCTTAACCTCTTATATTTTTTTTCTATTTTTAGAAATTTAATTCAAAAATTAATATAATTATATTAACAACTAATCTTAGTTTTATTTAAAAACATTTTTTAATTTTTTATTGCAATCCAAAATAATTTTTTTTTAATAATTTGTGATTTTATACATTTCTGCATAATGCAGTTTTTTGAACGTTATTTTGAAAAATAAATAAAATTTTGTCTTTTTGTTGATTTTATTGTTGAATTTAATTAAATTCGTTGCTTGGTTAACTTCGATCTACGTTGAGTTGCTTACTTAAAATCAAACAAGTGTCTTATTTATGAGACATTTAATTAATATAGACGAACTCGTCCACGAGAAGGAGCGTTACAAGGCCATCTCAGAGGAGCTTGACTCCACTTTCCAGGTTTGAAGAATTTTTAATAATAAAATAATCTTGATTGGCAATTGAAACACCACAATAAAAAGAGTGACGAGCTATCTAAGGCCTATGCGATAGCATCTGTCCTAGCGTACTAAGGAGAGAGTTGTCCTAATGAGGAGAAGTTTTATCGGGATATAAATGTCTCTATAAAAACAACACTTCCCTAGGGCGCCATATTCTCTCATACGTCAGAGCATTCTGTATCTTGGAGTGTAAATTAGGCTTAGTTGACTCTCCCACCAAGACACTTCTCCTCTTACGTAGCAAAATTTTGGTCGTTGAGTGAGAGTAGAGATCGGACTGCAGTGTTATACGAGAATCGAGATCTAGAAAAATCTCGAAACCCCCAAAATGCTGTCATACGTGAAGCTAGACCTCGAAAAATTCTTTATTTCGATATACAGGATTTTTAACGAGCTCTCGTCTCGATCCGTTCTCTTTTTCAAAGTTTAGTTTAAAAAATATTGTGGAGAGTTTCCACAGTATAAAAATATAAATTATAAAAATAAATTTAAAATCCTCTTTATTTTTTTAAAATTTATTAAAATTTAAAAATAAATTTCAGGAGCTTTCTGGCTACTGAGAAAGTCAAACAACTTTATTTGGCTCTATGGAACTGGACTCGGAAAAAATGGAATCGAAAAATTAAACAATTTAAAGGCAGCTTTAGAAATAAATACCACCGATAAAACAAAATTTTTTTGTTTGACTGCCCAAAAGGGGAATGGAAATAAATTTAAAATAATTTTAAACGCATTTTTGAATTTTTGGCATTATGTTTAATTTGCGGAAAAATAATTTTTTAATTATCTAAAGTTGCCATTCTGGGATCAAATGTCATTTATTGAATTTTTGAGAAATTTCGGAGAATTTCGAAAAAATTTTTGGTAAGTTTCGTAAAATTACGAAATTTCGAGAAATTACGAAATTCTTTCGAAATTTCGAAAGTCTTCCGAAATTTCCGAAATTTCGAAAATTACGAAATTTCGGAATTTTTCCGAAATTTCGTAAAATTACGAAATTACGAAATTTCGCAAAATTTTGCGAAATTTCGAAAATTTCCGAAAATAATTTTTACTCCATTCCCCTTGATTTTCTCAATTAAAATGCTTTGTCTTAACTAAATTTAAATAACCCTAAATCAACAACCACAAGCGCAACAATATTTAGATGTACCCATTTTAGAAATGAAGATTTTTTAATTGTAAAGGAATTACCGCTCCGAGAGAACCGGCCGTGAGAAGGGCTCCATTGCCTTACTTAAAGCGTAGACTCGTCCACACGTCAGGAAGATTTCAGAAATTTTGGAAAAAAATTCAGAAATTTTTAAAAAATTTTCGGAAAATTCCGAAATTTCGAAAAATTTCGAAATTTCGGGAAATTACGAAATTTCGGAAAATTTCGTAAATTTTTCGAAATTCCGAAATTTCGTGAAATTCCGAAATTTCGCGAAATTTCGAAAAAATTTTCTAAAAATTTTCAAAAAAATTTCAAAAAAAATTTTCTGGGGGTGGATGTCTACGCGGCAATGGTAAATGCCCGGTCAGTGCGGTGTCCTCGGGGCGGTATCTCCTATTAGAAAAGACGAACTTGAGCGCACAATGAGAACGATGCCAACGAGAAATTTTTTAAATCCAAAGGTGACCTCCCAAAAAATATTCCTTCCTCCCAAAAATTAATTTTATTGTCGAGAATTTAATATTAATTTCTGCTCCTCCCTTTTTTGCTCTTCCTCCTTATTTTGTGTCTTGCCATCATTTTTTGAATGATTGATAAACAAGAGGTGTTAAATTGAAGATTTTAAATTTTCTTTGGGTTATGTGGGTCAACTAGGGTGAGAGAGACTAGGGGTCTCTCAACTAGTGAGGGACTAAGGAGTTATCTTACTTGAGAGACACCTAGATGGGTTACTAGGGGTCTCTCAACTAGGTGTGAATGACTAAAGGTCTCTCAAATAGGACTGTGAGACCAGAGTGACTAAGGATGCTCTTTTGGTTGTGTAAGGTTGTGTAAGGTCGACTAATTGATGATAGACTATTGGCTGTCAACTAGAGAAGGATTAAGGGGTTTCTCACCCAAATAAGTTTTCAATGTCTTTAACTAGATGATCTGAAGAAAATTAAAAAAAATTCGATGAAATAAAAATTAGCAAGTTCACATTAGCTATTCCAAATGTTAACATGACTTTTTTAATGAAACACTATTTAAAAAACATATCCATATCCATCCGATCCGGATATATCTGCGGATTTGTTATTAATTGTATCTAAGCTGGTCCACATTCTTGGCGGGAATACAGAGGAACATTTGATAGAGTTTATATAGGGGAATCAGTGCTAATGCGTTTCATGACCGTTATATTACTCGGAAAAAAATCTAATTTTTTTTTAAATGCTTTATCAAAATCGGGGGAATATAAGCCGATTGATAAAAAAATAAATCCGAGGGTCAACAATATCGGATTCTTTAGTCTACAGCTAGATAGAAAGAAAAATTATACATAAAAAAGCAAATTGACTATAAACAATTTGGAAATCACAATTCCAAATTTGAAAAAAATACAAATATGACAGAAGAATAGTAAATGGTGCCGAAATATTTAAATTTAAAAATTGTAAAATACATAATTTTCAATTTAACTAATTTAAACATTTCTAAAAGTCGGGGAATTTGAAAGTTTTTTCATGTAATATTGTCATCGAAAATTTTTCCCGATGTTTCTTTTGTTTGTTAAAAAAGAGATCTATCCGTTTAAGAGAAGGGTAGTGCAATTTCCATTCGGAAGAAGTCAACTCTGGCTCGGAGAAGTGAGTCTACATCTCTGGGATAGGGCTCTCCGAAGCTCGTTTGGGAGAAATCTAGTCTATGTGAAAGAAAATTTAGAGAAAAGGAGTCAATTCGTCTGAGAGAGGGTCATGGTATTCCCGTTTGGGAGAAGTCTTCTCTTTCTCGAAGATAAAGGTTTCTACTCCGTTTTAGAGAGTCTTTCCGAAGTTCGTTTGGGAGAAGTCTACTCCGGTCTATTAAATTCTTTCTTTTTTAGTTATTCAATACCCTAATTTTAAATAATTTCAGCACCTTTGTTTAAATCTAGAAAGGAAAAAAAGAAAAATTTGGGGGTTGTAGTTTTTTTCTTCAGCAGACAATCCACTTTTTTGTTTCCTTCTAATCCTCCTCTACTCGTTTGGTGGAACTATACGAATAGACTTTGTATAGACATCATTGTAGTAGTCAATGCTAAATTTTATTTATAAAGAAACAAAGTTTATAGAGTAGATTTGCTTAGGCAATCTTCCATGGAAAATTTGAGTAACCCAGAGATGTCACATTCCTGGGAATCCCTCAGATATCCAAGTCCAAGTAGAATCCCTAAGATATCCAGGCCAGATATCCAAGCCGAATATTTTCGGATACATTTCTAAAACACTCCAAGATAATAACTAAAACACTCATATATAAGCACAATAGCGTAATTCTTATTATGAGGTCTGCTTCATAAATAATTTAGAAGGTAAAATTTTTTACTTTGACGGAAACCAGGAGCTGAGAAAAAAGTCTGGGTTCGGGTTTCCAAAATTTTCTTAAATTTCCCCCACCCCCGATCGAAAGACTCACTAATTAAAATTTTATAGTTAAGCTTACAAATGTGCAAGTTCCGTCAGTTTTTCCGATGAATGGTAAAAAGCAGTTTCATTTCCCTCCTTTTTTTCTTTAAGTTGATCGTCTATAAAACGAATATTTTCAGGCCAATTTCCATATTCAAGCAAAATTATTTTAAATTCATCTGCAGCAATAGCCATTATGAATTCGTAACCAAAATGACCACATTTGAAGGGTGTTGGTTTATCCCCGAAAGGATTTACTTTGTAGTAAGCAAGGTTGAGGAGTTGATACAAAGTTAATGGACGAGTATGGACCTTTTAGAGTATAATAAATTAATCACAAACGATATATGCATGTGAGCGGAGAGGATTTTATACTTATTATTAGCTAAGTCAATTATATCTGCCTCGGGATATCAAGCAAAATTAGACACCCTTTTCGAAATACATAGTAAATTAAGGTGTATCTATCGCCAGGTGTGTCTTATAAGTAGTGTTGTACTCTGACACCGACCCCGACAATGTGCTGCAAACAAGCAAAATTAGATCGAACCCTGCCCCAAGTAACTTTAAAACAATGCATTTTTGCTTGCAGCGCTAAACAGCCCTGATTAAAGAACCCAAACTTATGCAAAGCTGATCTTTTACCTTAAGTTCATTTCTCCGTCTTATACCTCGTAAAGTTATCTTTTGCGAATAAAATTTGTCATCCCTCCATCTTGTACCTCGTACAGGATCTCCTTTTACCCAAACATTCTCTTCAGGCATAATAACCAACTCTCCCTCATGTGGAATAACAAAATAATTCTTCTTGTTAACCGAATCAAAGAGGTTTATGCGGTCCATTGTAAAATGAACTGAAAAGGATTAGATATTTAATAACTTGGATGTATTAGGGTTTTTAGTGTGGGTTTTAGATAACTATAAATCCGAAAGAATGTTGTTTACGCTTACGTCTTCACTGTTTATTTAACTAAAATATTCATGATAAATACCAACTTCTAAATTTCTCTATCCCGTCCTCAAGATCGTGAAGCAAAACCATTATGTGACCATCAAATAGAGGCTCAAATATTTCATTCTGATACGCTTTTCCTTCAATCATCCAATTACTAACTCTTCCGCTGTCGTTATAGAAATCAGCGATGCGATTAGCTAAATTCTTTATAGTAATTACACGATGCGCATTGGCTCTCAGTTTACTTGATCTCTCAAGAAACTTAGCCTTTCCATAGAGCTCAGCATCCTTTATGTGATTTTCAATATCTTCAACTGGCTGGTCTGAACAAAAATAATTAAATTTCGATTAGAATAAAAATTCTTACATTCAACGTCGGCAATACCCAAAGTTGACAAGACTTTTTCTATGTTTATTGTTGAATACTTTTCCTGGTCTCCCCAAGGTTCAAGGAGTAACACAGTACCGCCATCGACTAAAAATAATAATTAATTGATATACTTTATATTATGCAAAAATATTATTTTATATTTCACATACATCGTTTAAGATAAATTTCAACTCTGTAACTTTTCTCCTCATTTGGATCAATCGAGAGCGGCATATGTTGTCTTTCTTCCTCTTGTACCCCCTCATCTCCTTCTTCTGTATTGCCCAACCCTTCCGGTGGCGTATTATTCTTTCTAATCCTCCTTCCATGGGAACTCGAAGAAGAAGCGCCACCCGAATGCTTCTTTCTTCCTCCACCTGTTCTCGAATGACCATAGTGGTGTATACGAATATGGTGTTCGTATCCTCCAGCCTCTACATTACTTGGATCATATCCATGGAGATTTAAGTTTCCAAATTGTTGAGTAAATCCATCAAAATTATGATTAGAATTGCCTTCATCTTGGTTCCAGTCAGTGTTTCCATAAACATTACTTGGGGCATGGCCTTGTATAGGATTATGTCCAACAAGGTGATGAAAATTGTCATGATGTTGAGTATATCCTTGGTTCCAATCAGTGTTTCCAACTACATTACTTGGATAGTCTTGTCCACTTGGAACCCCTCCTTCGACCCAGTATCCGTTTGCATCCATGTATCCATAGTTTCCATAACCAGCGCCTCCGGGACCGGCGCTTCCATGACCGCAATTTGCGAATTTTAACCAAAAAATAAAAATTAAATTGCTTAGAAGCATTTTAATATTTAAATTGTCAACTATAAATATTTTAAAAAATTTAAAAAAATAAATTTAAAAAATTCCCCAACTTATTTCCCTAACTTTTAGCCATTATAGGACGATGTGTAAGTGCTTGGGTGGATACACTTATTTAAGAATACATTTATTTAAGAATACATTTATTTAAGAGAAATTCAAAATTAAAAAAATATAAACTGCCTTTTGCTGCGGATTCAACAACTATTTATATGGACACGCAGCCTTGCCGAGCATGTCCATCGAGGCGGAGCATGCCCTGACATGCGCGTAAGTCTGTAAATTTCTCTAACTGCATTATACATAGCCTCTAATTAAAGACTGCTGGGCAGACTGCCCTTAGCTGCTAAACTATAAGCAAGAGATAATTTTGGCAAAGAAATTCGTTAAGGTAAATCACATGCAATCAGGCTTTGTTTTATTTTATATTTCATAATCGTTATTGAATTTAAATTTTAAATTTAGGATTTTCTATGTTTGCTTAAGCCCTTAATTCGCTTAATATTATAAAACCGTCGAAGCTTCCTGCAAGTCTAGCGGAAACAGGAGGGCTCCCTTGAATCGGCATTTCTCAGAATCAAGACCCATCCATTTTTTTCTTTCCCTTGGATAGCAGGAATGCCTCATGTCGAGGAATAAGTTTGGTCGGATTTCGGGTCAACACAGATCTAATGCCGAGAAGTCAGATTTTTTCTTTTTATTGTGAGAAGTTTTATGGTAAAAGTCGGGGTTCGATTCGGGATTTTAAAAATTTCTCATGTCGGGTTTCGGACCTGAAAAAGTCCGGGTCTTGGGTAACCCGAGGCATTCCTGTTGGATAGATACAGTTGCTTTACATTATGTCGCACAAACTATTTGATCTCTCATTACCGACATATACAAAGCAATTTTATCTTATACACTCTGTTACAACAATATACATCCACCTATATTTTGTGGTTTAAGTCCGTAAATCCGTTAAAAAAATCTACATATGCAGTATGTGGATGTATATTATTGAGACAGAGTGTATTCTACTATCTTGCGATTTAAACCGAAAATTCGCAGCGATCTAGATACCGTAATCTGCAACGTTTTAAGCATGCTTTACGTTTTAAACTTATAATTTTGGTCAAACCAACAACCCTATAGAGTATAAGTTTGCCAGTGAGATAGGTTTTAATGTAGCAACAAGCACTTAATTCCGATTTTTTTAAATTGAGAGGGATCGGATTTAATTAAATCCTTAGAACATTTAAAAATCCTCAAAATATATTTTTATTTTTTTTAAATGTATAGTTAGATTAAAGTTAAATTTTATTAACATAATTGTTTTGGGACGCAATTAATTTAAACAAAAATTTATATTAAATTGGCTTTAGGATTGATTATTATAATGGAGGAAATATTTAATTGTCTATCATAAGGAAATAATTAATTGGCTATCATTGTCTATCCTTATCCCCCTTGCGTGCGTCAGTCATGTTTGTTTATTACATCCCTCGCATTTATTATTAATAGTATCGCCTGATTTTTAAAAGCGCTTTAATTGAGTTCGAAGTTTACCAACTAAGCGCTGTTTCGAAATTTCGATCTGCGATGACTTTTTCTTTCGATTTCCGATTTCAACTTCCGTTATTTTCTATTTGGATTTATTTTGAAACAATCTGTCTTCTTGGCAAGAGGAAATTTAAAAAATTTAGTCAGAAAAACCTACGTTTCTATTTTTACATTTGTACTTGCAAAGTAAGCTTATGGATAAGCAGGATGACAGAGGCGCTGAAAAAGGAACAAATCTGGTGAATATCAGTACTTTTTTCTGTGATTAAGATTAGGGTTGTCGGTTTTGGACCGAACCGAGCCGAAGAACCGCGGATTTTTCGGGTCGGTTCTTCTGTTCTGTGTTATACATTATATGTCGCAGTTCAGACGTAAAGTTGCGCACTTTTTTCATAGTAAAATTTTTTGGCTATGGTCGGAAAAGTACTGCGAAGAAATAAAATATTAAATAACACAAAACAAATCGGAGGAAAAAAATTTTAACAATAAAGCCGAGAGTCAACAATATCGGATTCTACAATATACAGCTAGATAGAAATATTTTCTTCGTAACACTGCCATCGAAGAGATTTTCCCAGGGGCTACTGTGTTAGATAGAGTGTCTCCTCCAAAGTCGCTTAGAGAGCTTTATTGCTAGATTTTGCCCAGCCCTCCTATACACTCCTTGGATGAGTCAATTAGTTTAAGTAAAGAGTGATATTAGAGGATTTGTTTAGATTGAGAAGAAAATTCTCGAATTAAAGTTTCAAGTTTCAAAATTATTTAATATTGTAAGGAAGAGATAGAGAGAGAAAGCTCCAGCTGGCTAGCATTTAAAACGCTCACTAGGCGGGGGATTAAGATCTATTAAAAGAGAAGGACGGTAGCTCTGTTGGTAGAGCACCTGTACGTGGTGAGCGAAAGCGCCTAACAATAACTGCCAGGAGGTCGTAGGATCGAAGCCTGCCCGGGATTAAACTTTTACCTCGCTCTTACTATGTTTAAAAAATATTTTAAAAGAGAAACATAAATTAGATATATTAAAGTAATAAAATAAAAAAATTAAACGCTCAATCAACAATCATGCGTCTATCTATCAATCATATGTCTATCATCTTGTTTACTACCTGCCGCGCATTTATTATTGTCAATATCTTGTGATTTTTACATGCGCCTCTTTTGTTGACTATATGCTGAAATAATGCCCTTTGCCGATTGCTTTTCGTTGTATTCTTTTTTAAATATTATTTGGAAATCATATTGTTATTTACCGCTATATGCCTATTGCTGGAGAAGACCTTATAATTTAGTTTAAACCGTATACTTTGACTTATATCTGAAACCTTTACACTGGGTAATGCCGAAGCTAATTCTAACATGTGAGAGGCATAAGTCGAAACACCAAAAGACGTCTCCTACTCAGACAGTTTCATTTGGTCCATGAGAGTAAGCTGGATTAACACTATGTGTTGACCTTTCTATCTTAGTTTTATTTTATATTTCATAATCGAGATTGAAT